TACGAACGGTAAACCCCTAAACCACTAAACCCCTAAACCCCTAGAGCCTAAACCCCTAAACCCTAAACCCCCAAACCCCTAAACCCCTAAACCCTAAACCCCCAAACCCCTAAACCCCTAACGCCCTAAACCCTAAACTTCGGGTCCTGCACCTCAGAGTGCCAGCGGTGCCCCGCCAGTGGCAGCTGCGAACTCCTCGCAGCGAAAAGGCTTTAGGGTTTTAGGGTTTTAGGGGTTTCAGGGGTTTTAGAGTTTTTAGGGGTTTAGGGGTTTAGGGTTTTGGGGTTTAGGGTTTAGGGTTTAGGGTTTGGGATTTAGGGTTTAGGGGTTTAGGGGTTTTGGGGTTTTGGGGCTGAGGATTTCGGGCTTTAGGGATTTTTGTTTTGCCTTCTGCATGGCTGTGTATGCGAAGAAGGCGTGTAGGGTTTAGGGCTTTCGGGGTTTAGGGTTTGTTGCTTAGGGCTGAGGATTTAGGGCTTTAGGGTTTAACGGTTTAGGGGTTTAGGGCTGAGGATTTAGGGTTTTAGGGGTTTAAGGGTTTAGGGCTGAGGGTTTATGGGTTTAGGGGCTTAGAGATGAAGATTGATTTAGTGCAATGCACGGGATTTAGGGTTTAGGGCTCTTTTTGTGATTGAAGCATGGCTGTGTAGCATGCCTGCCCCTCCAAACCTGAGGCTCACTTAAAGGGTCCATGCATACTACCCCTATGCCATGGCCAAAAAAGACGATACCCATTAAGGCTTTGGGGAACTAACTCCAGAATAATACTAGTAGTGCACATAGTAACAAATTTCTTTGAGTATTTTGCAGCCCATCATGGCCGGCCTCTATGATTTCGAGCCATGGATTTCTACATCGCTTTAGGGGTTTAGGGTTTAGGGGATGTGCAGGAAAGGTTTTACGGCGCCAAAGGTGGAACTTACAGGTTTTTGGGTTGAGAGCGAGCCAAACCGCGCAAGCAAGCCTGCTGGAATCGAGTAATCCAAACCTTCAGAACACCGAAAACTTTCATCTTAATTGCAGAACTGAGATACCTTATACAAAACCTTGCAAAACCCTATGAGGCGCTTTATACTTTACAAAGACAACCCAATACACTCCTAGGTGTCGAATTCAACAGTCCCTAATTAAGCCCAACATGATTCATAATTCAGGCTCTCCTCTAATTTAAACAGAAGAGGCAACTGATTACCAAATATCCCAAAACGACACTTACCTTAACCTACCAAACCCTGTTTTTTTGCAGGTTAAGGTGGAATCCCATGACTTACGTAAAGATCGGTGGGGAGGCCTCTTCGGCCTTCAGCATACGCCGTGCAGACGCCACCAGGGTGGCTGCTTGACGTCGATACCTGGTGGTGGTTCAGGGTACCCTACACCCTTTTGCATCCAGGCCTATTGCGACTGCCAGGTACCCTCTTTCGGTACCCTACACCCTACACCCTAAACCGATGGTTTAGGGTTTAGGGTTCCAAGACCCAGAGACTCCAGCATCTATCTTGTAAGCAATGTTCCCATCTGCCAAAATCCATACACCAAGCCACTAAACCTTAAAGCCTAAAGCCCTAAACCTCGAACCTTAAATCCATAAGCCCCTAACATATATCCATAAGCCCTATGGGTGGTTGTCAAAATCACCCCTATACAGACCTAAAAGAACCCTGAACAAAAACGAGGACGCTTGCTTCGTCCCTGAGGCTCAAGCGCCGCGACGGCGGCAAAGCGCGGCTTGGCTGGTGCAGGGGCCGAGAGCTCCTCTTTTTTATTACGACGATTGGTTTAGGGTTTAGGTGTTTAGGGGTTTAGGGTTTTAGGCTTTAGGGTTTAGGGGTTTAGGGGTTGAGGGTTTTTTTTTTTTTAGGGTTTAGGTGTTTAGGGGTTTAGGGTTTTAGGCTTTAGGGTTTAGGGGTTTAGGGGTTTAGGGTTTTAGGCTTTAGGGTTTAGGGGTTTAGGCTCTCACAACTCGGACAATGCCAGGCGAGGTTCTTAGATGCGGAGCCGGTGTGAAAAGTCATTGGAAGTCGATTCTCACGTGTGCCAGTTCACCACAGGGCTTCCAACCAGAACACTCCAAAGCATCACAACATCGAAGAGTCCGTCATGATTGTACTGCCAGCTCACTAACATCGAGCATGCCAGGATAAGTTGACCACATGCAAACGCCCGCATAAAGTTGGTATGTTTGCTGAGCACTATTATCGGGCGCTACTTTGAGCAAGCCAGCCACTCTTGCAAAATCTACTCCAGGCCTTTCTGAAGTTAAGTGGGTACCCGGGGGCCCTTTGTAGATTCCAACAGAGCACTCAGTGCTACAGGGTTGTGTGAAACAAGCGTGCATACAGCGTTCATCCCGTTCAGTACTCGTTGTTCAAGTGCAAAGCAGTAGTACCGCCATTCAGTCTTTCCTCCCTCATGCAGAGCACGGTGCAGCTGTGTCCAAAGGATGTCTGACCATGCTTCATTGCATTCCGTGGTCTGAGCATCCTCCAGTCAACGTGGCAGGCTTTCCTGTTCTCCTGCCAAAACTAACGACGTGCCACGGGCTCCAGACCATCCGCATTCCACATCCTCTGCACTGGGGTGCTTTTTGGCTAAGCTGAGGCCACTGCACTTGTGATTTCGCAAAGGTTGGCCCACTTGCCCGCATCTCCCTGTTGTTCGGGGTGCTGTTCTGGCTTCGTCCTCTTCCGCAGCTAGCAAACAACACCTCGTAGCTGTCGCCCCCAGAGGTGGATTGTCTTAGGGGTTTAGGGGTTTAGGGTTTTCTTCTCACCATTATTGGGGTTTCAACCATCGGATCTGTCAACTGACAAAGAACTGCTACAGCACGAAACATCTCGGGTGAGAGGGGAAGCTGTTGAAGAAAGCCTGAATGTTGTCGTGTCCTTCATGTCACTTTCGAACCTGGGGCCTAGGGCATGTGCAGAAGTGTTCTTTGCAAGTACCCCTTCCTGTGGGGAAGGCTCGATATTGTGTGGCCACGAAGTCCAGAGACCGAACTACCGTCACCCTTCTACCGCCGGGCCCACTGGCTTGCATGCAATACAGCGTATGTCAGGGTGCTACAATAGCTACTTGCGATCAATCATCGCCTCGCTTCGCTAGCTGCTAGGAGTTCCTTGTGCAAGCAGTCTCAACTGTGTGGTCACTGGGCTAGTTTTGGCATTGATCATTGAAGCATATATGTGTCGCTCAATGTCCCTGACCTCGTTTGGCGGCGAACCAGCTCTCCACCCTCAGACTCCAAACCTTCCACCCACACGGTAGTCCTCGTGCCATGCATCCAGCAGCACCTGCACGCTTTTGGAGATCTCATGACAGCGCAATCAGACATGTAGAGGGCCTACAAGGGCCTGATATGTGTACTTCTCTCTCTCTCTCTCTGGCGTGCCATCATCAAGAGTCTCGCAATGCAAGGGCACGAATTCGCAGGCCAGAATATCAGGAGGCGTAGCGCGAACGCTGAACCTCCGTCATTCTTCGAGTCCACTGAACTAGATAGGGTCTTACAACCCCCCGCCCAAAAAAAAAACGCGTATATATATATATATATATATATATATATATATATCCGAACCCTCAGACCACAAAACCACCCAAATTCCAAACCCTCAGACCCAGAACCCACCCCAGGGTCGCGCACCAGCAACCGCCGCAAAGCAGCCGGCGAGGCCTTGGCCCCTAGCGACGCAGGAAGCCTTGGACGGAGACGGTTCTCTTGGGTTTATCAAAGGATCTACCAGGGTTTGTAGAGTCACTTAGGGCTTGTAGGGTGAACTTAGGGTTTATTATTTATGGGGTTACTTAGGGCTTATAGGGTTTAGTTAGGGCTCTTATAAGGGTTTACTTAGGGGTTTATAAGACTTACTCAGGGCTCTTAGGCTTTACTTAGGGGGTTATGGGTTTCTTGTAGGGATTACTCAAGGTTACAGGGCTTTTATGGTTTATTCAAGGTCTCGAGTTTATTTAGGGCTATAGGGCTTAATGGTTTTTTCAAGGTCTAAAGGTCACTCAGGGCTAGAGGACTTATGTGGTCTGTTCAGGGTCCAGAGTTTATTTAGGGTTTTGGGATTTATGGTTGAGAGGGGACTTTTGTGTGATGTAACTTTGTTTTTGTCAGGCCCTTCGCTGCCCTTCTGCAGCTGCACATGCGTTTGCTGTACTATTTATTCATATGGTATCCACCCCACGCAACAGTCGTTGAGCGTCTATGGTTTATGTGCTTTGGGGTTTAAGACGTTGGGGAAACGGAAAACTGTACACTAAAACCGCATCCACTGAGTGATACGGCTCATCATCAGGGAGAGGTCACCGAGCAGGCCATCCTCAACCGTAAAAGGGCTGTAGCGAGTCTAGTCTGCATGATGCAACGGCAGGCCAGCCTAGTATAGGGGCCCTGATAATTGAATAGGGTTTTGGGGCCCATTATACTATACTTATACAATAAGGAACCCTCCCCCCAAAAAAAGAGTAGTAGGTAATGATTAAAGCCCCTCAAAAAGTAGCAACTCACGGCCTTTTCTCGCGTGCCGAAGACCAATATGGGCAGAATTGTCCGAGCCAAAGCTCCTCGAAAGTTTGTCGTCAAAGATCTTCAGAGGGTTCCCCGCAGTTTTTCCAAAGGGTCCAAAGCACCTATAGTCTATAGTAGAATGTAGGGTTTCTGTATTATATTAGGACTCATTATGACTTTGGGGAAGTATCCCCCCATAACAGTACCTAGGATCCTTTGGGTCTGAAAGAAGACAAGTTGCGCAATGCGTGCCCAAGCACAAGCGCACACGACATCTATGCACATGGTTCAGAATCTGCGGGACACAGCCACAGCAAAGCGGAGGGATTGCTTTCTTCCTAAGGTTTCTCGAAGCCAACCTCGCCTAACCATCTTCCTCATCGAACCCAAGCATCAGCGTCAACTAGATGGCCACTCTATAGAGATTCACTTCCAAACTAAAACTCCCAAATCAACCTCGCTTGCAGGCGGCTTTCACCCCCATGGCTCAATCCACTGACTTGCTCGGCGCGGGCTCACTGGACTCTGAGCTGCAACTTCCACCGATGAGGGCCGAGGCTGCGCCCCCGAGGATAGTCTCGACCTGCAACCCCCAAACCCTCCAAAATAGCATAGGTTATGACCTCTTGCTTCAGTACACTGTATAACCCTTAATGCATTAGATCATTAGGCTGTTTGAACTTGTTGAAACCCCAGGGACGCCATCGAAGATGTTGGAGAGATGCTCCGCAGCCGTCTCCATGCTTCCCGTGGCCGCGGTCAAACCGGAAGCCAAGGTGTTGTCAATGGCCTCCAAAGTGTCCGACACCTGAAAGCTTCACAACAACGATCGTAGGGATACCTTAATGGGGGCTCCTCCGAAATAGATTCCCACTACTACGGTTGATGATATCAATCCTGCATTACCCATAATAAGGAATGTACCATACTTTCCATAGTCTAGGGTCATTAGGTAATGCAGGATTTATATCAACGCTCTGTGGGGTCTAGACTTGGGATCTTTATTTCTGAAAATACCTCCCACCTGCTCCGCGGCGTCTCCCAGGGAGCTTCCGTTCTCTTGCTCGTTGATCACCAAGCTCCGACCGTCGAAGGCATTGCCCAGCTCCTGCTGCAGGCCGGCTGCAGACAGGATCGTGATCATGTCGAGCATGCTGACGGCAGGGCGACGACGAACGCCGGAGAGACAGGAAGCTTGAGCCACTACACGCCTTAGATCAAAATTGCATCGTTTGGGGGATTTGGGTTACAGATGCAAGTTTGAGTTTGAGATTTTAGGTGTTGGGATTCCGGGACGGGGTTGAGGCTTCTGGGGCTTCAAGTTTAATTCCGGGCGAAGTACCACTTTCGGACTGGACAATCTAGGGATATATCCTGCACCCTAAGTTAAGCTCGAAGATCTTCAAACTCTGGGCTTTACTAAACCCCTTACCCCCCCCTCTCTCTCTCTCTCTCTCTCTCTCTCTCTCTCTCTCTCTCTCTCTCTCTCTCTCTCTCTCTCTCTCTCTCTCTCTCTCTCTCTCTCTCTCTCTTGCGGACTCTGTCACCTTACCCTAAACCGCACAACTTACGGTTCGAGGGTTTCGGATAAACAGAGGAAACTCTGCCGAGGCCCCAGCACCTGCTGGCTCTTGACATGATCGGCCACCGAACCTGTCTATCCCTAGGGATCTGAAGGACTCATCATATATTAACTAACCAGTGGTTTTGGGGGTTCCCTTGGCTCTTTAGCTCCTTACTTAATAACCATTCTCATCATCCCTGGCTCCTTGGCTCCCCGAATATCAATGGTTAGTTAAGGCTTTTGGGCCCAAAGACCATACTATATAAGGCTTTTGGGAAATTTTGATCCCTAGGGTATCGCAAAGAGCCGATGTACCCAAATTATTAGGGCCAGAGTAGCTACCGTTGGGGTACATGGACCCTTTGGGTATAGAGTATTGACACTGACGCACATGACTTTAAAAGCTGTACTGCCCTGTCGCCCACGGATGTGTGTAATTTGTGTATGTGTACACCTGTATACACATATGTATATACAGGCGTACAAATACATGCATACATGCATACAGTCATACATTCTTACATATACATGCATACATACCCATTTTCTTGCACTTGAGCATCGATTTATCTGTGTGTTTACTTTCACATGATTTGTTTGCGATCCAGTGGGAGCCAGAACGATGGACCGTAGCCCCTTTCAGCAGTCGTCCAGAACCCTATTCCGTAAGGACTGCACCTCAAGCCATATCACGGATGCCTCTATATACTCTACTCCTCAGCTGCGGGGCTTTGAGGCTTCTCCGGATAGCTGTGCTGCAGAATTGCCGAACCCTGCCAGTTATGGGAGAGACATGCACGCAGTCGGGCTCAAACCCTACTCTACAAGCCCAAGCATCAAGCACTCCTAAACCTTTCCCGTAAACCCCCAAAACTTAAAAAAAATCCTAAACCCAGCATGGTGGCATATATTATATGAGAGCCCTTTACCCCGCTACATAAGTAACTGGGATTGCAGAACTATCTTTCCCCGATGCAGGAACGGCCTACAATCTTAATTGAAAGCCCTAAACCCTCTGATGCACCCGAAACCCCAAACCCTGAACTATACCCCCCTTATAACCATAATCAAAGTAATATGTTTAATACTCTCTTGGGTTATATATGAACAAAAAACAATTCCTAAGGAGACTATAGTGAACTCAAAAAGGCGAAAGACCAGGATCCCGGCGCAGCTCCCCTTCGGGCATCTCCTGCGACAAATGAATCCGTCATATTCAGAGAGCCCATTACCCCTTAATTAAGGGATATGGCTTAAATTACAAATAAGGCTTCATATTATGAATTAGAATATTTTCATTAATTAAAGGGTATATTTTCATCAATTAAGGGGTATTGGGCTCTCTGGGTTCTTCCTAATGTAGGAACCTTTTGCAGCAGGCTTCTCTCGCCGGGAACAGCTGTGGAAGCGAAGCAGTGCAGCACTCGTGACTGCGCAACCCCGCACGGGATTAAGAAACCCTGACCCCAAAAAACCCTTGAATATTAGGATCCATATAAAGCGCCGGCATTAATGAAGACCTCCGGTTTCCTCATTAGCTACCTATATCAGCAGCTCACCGCGGCTACGCGAAAACAAGGGGGCCCTCGTAGAAACACTACAAGTGATGCCTACAGTAGGGTTTAAGGTCTCGGCGCTCGCACTCGCGCAATCCAGGCGAGGCAAGGGCTTAGGGTGTAGAGTTTAGGGTTTCGGGTTTTGGGTTTAGGGCTTAGAGTTTAGGGTTGAACAGTAAAAGAACAACGAGGAACCGAGTGTTGAGAGATGCAGATCCATAGAATGGCTGCAAGCAAGTGCGCCCATCACAGTCCAGCAGGTTCGCGACAGCGCGCATCTCGGACACGTCAATCTCTTCAAGAGACCTAGCACGGGATGCACGCAGCAATTCCCAACCAACCTTACCCTCGCTTTTAACCGCCCGTCACTGCGATCCTACAGTCTAGTCTAACTGTTACTCGTCACACGGTCGGAAAAGGACCTGTTACGAAATCCAAGGTTCCCTTCTTCTTAGACCCCCCAACTACCCTCTAATATACCCTTGGTTACCCACTATTAGGGACCATAAGGGCTCTATTAAAGGGCCATCGGGGGGTCCTTCTTGCTGGTTCTTTTACACTGTGAAGGGCCCTTCAAGTTCCACAGGGCCCCTGATATCAAAGACAAACCACAGAACAAGAAACAGCTCGGTTTAGGGTTTAGGGTTTAGGGAAGCAAACAAACAACAAACATCAGGTAAGTCTTCGAAGACAACTTATTCCGACTAGCTGCTGCTGTGGAAACAAATTTTAAACACAATCTATTCCGTAAATGCCGAACCGTAATCCTGAAGCCCAAGACACTGCACCCTAAACCTTCAACTCAAAATCCCACCACGAAATCATCAGCGTGCACAAATGCTGACACGAAAAAGCATGTGTTAGCAAAAGTTGCAGCAAGTTGCGGTAACATGTAAAAATGATAATACGTAAAGACATAGGATTCGACAGCAACGTGTGTGTGTGTGTGTCTGTGTGTGTGTGTCTGTGTGTGTGTATGTGTGTGTGTATGTGTTTGTGTGTGTGTGTGTGTCTATGTGTGAGTGTGCACACATATACACATGCATGCCTAACATGCGCCTGCATGTACGCATGCATGCAAGCATGCTATACATGCGCGTGTGCGGAGGCAGGGAAGTAGGTAGGTAGGTTGGCAGGGGGGGTAGGCTTGTTGGTAGGTTGATTGGTGGGAGGTAGGGAGGGAATAGGTTGGTAGGTCGGTAAGTCCGTATTAGCTGTTGCTAAATGTGCGCCTACACCTGCGTGCTTTTTCGCATGTGGATCCGAGCTCTGGAAACTCTTGACTTTGGTGTTCCAGGCTTGTTCGGGCTCAGGGCTTCAGTGGCTTGGGGGTCAGGGTTTTAGGGCTGAGCTGACGCCGGATAATGCCTCCAAAAGCCAGCATGTAAGGACATCAGCATATGGGTTTGCAGGATTCATGCAAATTGGCTGCCTTAGAAATACCCCAAACTGTTCGGCATAAACGACCCCTGAAACAAATGTAATTAGGGCCTTTGGGTTTGAGTGCGGGGTGTACTTAACCCAACAAAGAAAACAGCTTGTATAGATTGCAGATAGTTGCAGGACTTTGCTGGCTACTGCTAGCTGCTACGAGCCCCAAAACCAACTATGAACCTTCACCACCGCAAACGCTGAAACTGAAACCCCTGATGTAGGATTGAAACAGGGTTTGAGTTTTTTGGGTGGTTCGGAACACCTGGCGCGCAGCAGCGCCACCGGCGGCAGGTCTCCTCCCAGCGTATCCTGAGCTTCTTTACTTTTGCTTTTGTCTAAGGCCGTAAAATAACAAAAAACTACTTAGAGAAGTGATTTGTGTGCGTTGTAATGTCAGAGTCCTTGTATTCTATGTGTAAGTTTTGGACCCGACGAAGGTTTCAAAACACAGCACAAAAGGGCCCTCAATACAAGTGCGAGGTCTTCAAGCTTCTAAGGTTAAGACTGTTTCTATCGGGGTGGTGCACAGCTAAACATGCGGGTCTCGATGCCTGGAGAAGATTTGAATTGGCTTTTTCGCAATGCTTTAGAATCTGGTGGGGGGGCTTGTATACAGCTTTCTTGCAACGTCGGGTTTTACGACCTACACGCTTGCCATGGAAAGCCCTTCCAGGACTTGTGGAATTTGGCTTTAGGGTTGTTCGCTACAGTAGAGTACAGTGCACTATGTGAGCTAAACGGGCGAAGTGGTACGTTATTCCTCATTCTTCAAAATGTTGTACAGCTTTAGCTTTGACTTTTAACATTAGGCACGTTTGCACAAGTGGGCGACTCATTTCCACTTCGAAACAATAGTTATTCCACAATGCCTGATTAATGTCGACTTACATCCTGTGCGCAGCACTAGCGCTACCTCATCATCATCGACGAGCTACGAAATGCTACGAGTACATGCGGGGAAGCCACACAAACGTGCTGTTTGGACCCTCGATGTCGAGTCAAGCTGCGGTTGTTCCTGCAACGCACAGCAGCGAAAACCAATCAAGTCCAAAATCTTCTATGCCCACCCCATTCCGAATCAAAGGTAAGTGCAAAACAAGCCGCTGCTTGCGCACCGCGCTCAAGAAAAAGGAACCTGTCAATTCGACTGGTCTCGTGCTCCCGCCACAAATTGAAAGCACCCAAACATGCATGCGATCCAAACAATTCCGAAGGGGGCCCGGCTTCAGCAGCACACTGCGCAGCTCAACCGCAGTCGTAACCTCCGGTGGGACGACCATGGCCTGGGCAACTGATAACCCGAAGTTGAACTTCCAGGCCACTTTGCCTTGACATGTCATTGGCCCCTACATGAACCCAGTTTAAAACAACGAAGCACCGTGCATCTCAGCTCGGGCTCCAATTCGACTTGGCACTCTGCCATCATACGAAGGTTATTGATTTGTTTTGGATTTCCTTGTTTGCAAGTTTGCAATTTCACAGCACGAACAACATCCCACGGACAAGCAAATGTCTTGTCGAAAACGTCTGGCTTTCGGAACAGGAAGCAAACAGCATCAAACAGCCAGCCCCACCACCATCCCCCCACACAACCACACTTGCATGCAGCCATATGGGCGGTTGTCAAAATTAGGCTCCTTTTTGGGGTCCTTATTGTAATACGGCAACTGATAATATTTAAGGTACCCAAAAAGGGACCATAATTTTGACAACCACCCGCTTGCATGCAGCCGTATGCAGCCTCGAGGTGCGCATCGACAAAGCATAGCCGGTCGCTGCGTTTTGTGATGCTGTATCGTCGGACGGGCCGAAGCAACAAGGATGGGCGGACACACTTGAGAAAGCAACTGGTAACCTGTTTAAAACTGCAAAGACTTTACCAGCACACGTTCCCGAGCATCGCGCATCGTTTGGCTGACTTTTGTAGCAACATGTTGGAATCTGATTTTTGTGGATGCCATCTACTACCATGACTTGCTTTTTATGCTACGGCTACGATCTGAAATATGCATGGGCGGTCAATCGCGACAATATCGATGCCTGCTGCCTACATGGTGGTACAACCCAGGCTTGTCTGGGGCCGCCGCAAGAGGTGTGAGCAAGTCCATGGAAGACGAATCCAACGCGAAACCAAAGTTGAAGATCTGCTGTTCCTGACATCGCAACACGTGATTCGCACCTCTCTTAGCACATCAATACCAAAACCAAAACTCGATTCTGCTCAGCTCGCCGTGGGCATGATGATCGTACGAAACACTGTTCTGGACTCCTGGCTTTGTTGGCCGTAGCTGATCGTCACTGCTTCGCCGGCCTCGACACGTGCTTCATCGAACACTGTTTCTCAGAATGTTCTCCGGGTTCATACACATTCGCAACCGAATTGGCGGAATCTGCCAACACACTTTGACTGGACATCCAGCACCTGCAAGTCGCGTACAGCCACCAGTTCGATGGAATCATCAGTGCCGACCCGACATCGGGCTGTGGGATCCTGGTGGCAAGCATGCAACATGACTCAACAAGATCTTTGCAAGTTGCAGCTGATGTCGCCTGGTGTAACACAAGAACCCTCAGGTGTCATATGCACTACATCGGATATCTCCGAGAACCCGGCCGCAGAGCAATTCGCGAAATCCACCAGCCTTGGGTTGCAGCCCTTCTCTGCGAACATGTCAAAAAACACCAATCATTTTCGTCCATATACAGGGCGTCTGATGGAGGAAACGAGACCATCAAACTGTGCAACCTTACCCTGCCAAGTAGAATCGCGAAAGACAAGAAACGGCACGATGCCTTGCATCGCTTCCGCTTCCTCGCAGCAGATTACGGCAATTGCTCGCAACAACAACTGAAAAGTTCTAAATGCTCATGCGCCAGGTGGATGGCTCCTCAGCGGTCGAAGCCGAAAAGCACGGGCCAGCCCTGCCCGAGATCAGGGGCAAAATGCGTCAACATCAACTTGTCCTGTCGGAATGGTCGTCTCTACCTTATACATCGCTGTACTACCACATCAATTGACATCACCATGTGATGCGCTTGCCGGCCAGAGCTAGCTGGCCCAGCACCACATACCACAAGTGCTAGCGGCAGTATGAATAAGGCGCACCAACTGTGTCGGAAACCGCTTCGCAAGGCCTGGTGAGCACTGCCGCCTTCGCCCAACGCAAGCGGTCGATGCTCCACGGCGCGGTCAACTGAGGCAAATGTTCCAAAGCCACCTGGCGCATGTAAACTTGTGGAGGATTTAAAGCTTTCGTGGGATAGACTGTGTGAACAAACTGCCGACGGCTGCATTTTCATGTGCTTCAAAAGCCGCAATTTGCTCATGCCATGCCTTCTGCTCCTCCTCAAGCTGCCCATTTTGCGCAGCCAATGCCAGAAGCAGGGATGAACCCCGTAAATGTATGTCCACATCCTCCTGACCAAGTTCTACGCAAGCATCTCTGAATTTTAAAGTCCTTTGCATAAGGACCCGAAAATCAGGTACCGCCTCCGAGAATGTGAGCGGAACCATCGGGAAATCCGCCGGGATTGAAAGAAGATATTCCCTCAGTCCCAACAAGTCTTCGCCTCGGCAAAGTATGGAATCAAAGCCTGTACAAAGCGCACGCGGTGCCAATATGCACTCGTACACACTCCGATGCCTGGTGTATCTGCACTGAGCAGTACACCCTTCTCGGCAGCCCGCCTTGCCTTGCGAAAGAACATATCTGGGAAAAACAACAAGCACGACATTCCATCTTCCTGCAACAACAACGAGCGCTGTGTGGCCTCTGCAAGTAGTGCCAAAAGAGCCACATCAGTGGGCACATCATTGCAACCGAGCACTCTTTGCCTTAGCATCCACTTTGCAACACGGCACATAGATGCCCCAAACGTTCGAATCAAGCGTCGCCATCGCGCCGGACAGTACAGCGGATCGAGGTACCTGAAAAAACAACACGACATGCAAACAGAGTCCACAGCCTGCAATCTTTTGTTTCCAACATGCAGCACAACATACTAATTGTCGCGAGCCTTGTTTCGGGAGCGGGTGAGGACTAGTATCCCGTCAAATAGGATTTTGGAGGTGATGCGATGCTAAAATCGAAAAACGCAGGTGCAAAACCGTACAAGTGATTTTCCAGTAAACAAAATGCCATAGTTCGCGTCCGCCCAAACGAGTGCTATAGATCCTTCGCACGCCCCGCCCCAGCCCTGCCCGGAGCACCATCAACGCACAAGCCGGACAATGCACAGCAGCGACAGCCGCCAGTGGCCGCCAGTGCGCAACACGTGGCAGCAGTTCTTTTTTTTTCCCTCCTACCTAGCAGTTCGTTTTAGGGTTCGAGGTTTAGGGTTTAGGGCCCAGGTTACTGCAAGGGTTTGGGTTTCGTTTTTGCAGTTTAGGGCGATGGCGCCCGACCACTGCACCCCAAGGCCCTCACCCACCCCAACCCGCACCTGCCCAACGTCCCGCCCACCGACCCACCCAACCACCAACCCACGCACATGCCGGCCCCGCCCCACCGCCCGACACAACAAGTCCTCTTTTCCTGCGTCGAAAAAAGTTTCACGTGATTTTTCCTTTTTTGATCATTCCAGCCGGAAATGCGAAGCTCTCTGTTGTTTGTCAAAAAAACATGTCAGTCAAGTCCTTAATTTTGCCGCTCCTCCCAAGCGAACACAGACAGGTTCATCAAGTGTCATTTGTTTTGCTCGTTTTTGTTGTATTCGGTTTTTACTTTGTATTCTTCCTCCCACAGTAAGAAAAAAGCCTTCAACGAAGCTTATCTTTGGGCCTTAGTTCGGAGAACTTATAAGGCGCAGAGTCTATGTGCAATTTCTTGGCTTTCTTTGTGCCAAAGGGAAAAGATCCAAAAACACAAGTGTGATTCCAAACGGATACCTACTGGCTCAAACTCATGTAGTGCCTTCAACCTCACCCCCACACCCACCCTTTCAATCCTTACCCCCCACCCTCCACACCCCCCCCCCCCCCCCCCGAACGCCCCCACCCACACCACCCACACCCCGCCCACCACACCCAACCCCACCGCACCCTCACCCGCTCCACCCCTCACCCACCCCACACGCAACTTCCGCATGACTTCTGCATAAGCCCCTGGCCCCTGGCCTATGCAGAAGTTATGCGGAAGTTGCGTCGCTATTCAGAGAGTCGGCCCTTTATGCAGGTGGTCCGCGCAAGCTGCCAGGGTTCCATCAAAACCCTCAGTCTCTCTTCCCGTCTGATGCTCCTTCCCCACTCCCAGGCCCCAGCCCCCGTCCCAGCCCCAGCAGCCCCAAACCCCAAACTTGGAGGACGCATCAATCAAACTCTTTGCGAAACCCAACCCCCAACCCCGTACTTCCTGAGTCTCCGTTCTTCTAAGTGAAACCTTAAACCCTAAACCTGAAACCAGTAAACCCGAAACCCTAAACCATTGTAGGTAGGCTTCGAGCTCCTAGGTGGTGGTGGAGTCGTGTTTGTCAGATCGGGAGGGGGTGGGGTGGCACAAGCAATTCCAAAAAAACGGCGACGGGTTTAGTCAGTCAGTCGAGGGTGTGGGGTTTTAGGCTTTAGGGTTTGGGGTTTAAGGTTTTTGCCTGAACCCCACTCCTTGGCCGTGGCCCAGCCCCAAGCCCCACCCAGACCAGCACCAACCCCAAACCCTAAACCTCCAACCTTCAAGTACTCAGAGTCTCCATTCCTCATCGCGAAGCCCAACCCTGAACCTCACTCCTCGGCCTCCAGGCCCCACCCAGACCAACACCCCCAACCCCCAAACGTCAATCCAAATCCAACCCCGAACGTCAGCCCCAAGCCCCACGCAGACCAACACCACCCCGACCGCCAACCCCAACAGCCCCAATGTCTCGCGCACCAGTTTCCATTCCTCTTCACGAACCCCAACCCCCCAGCCCCAGCCACATTGGGCCGGCCCCAAGCCCCACCCAAACCAGCACCACCCCAAATCCCCAACTCCAAAAGCCCCAAACCTTCCAACCTTCAGGTTGCGTTTGCTTTTGCGAAACCCACCTCGAACCTCACTCCTTGGCCCAGCCCCAAGCCCCACCCAAAACAGCCCAACCGCCCGACCCCCAACCCTGCCAAGCGCCCCAACCCCAGGCCTGCTCCAAGCCACCACGCCAAGGTCCTCCCCGCACATGAAGTGCTCTGCAGCCTTGAGCTTTCCCATTCCCCACTCCCACGGCTGCAGCCCCACTCCAAGCCCAGCCCCTAGCCCCAGCACTGCGCCAACCCCAACCCAAAGCCCCCAAAGTCCCCAAAGCCCTCGGTCACACACGCTCCAAGCCACACACCAAGCTCCAGCTTCCACGCCAAACCCCAAAGTCCATATGCCATGCAGAGGTGGCTGCTCGAACAACATTCGCCACTCCCCGGCCCAATCCCAGTCCAAGCCCACCCACCCTCCGGTTATGCAGAAAAACGTTTTGAAAAAAGTGCAAATTCTCAAACCAAGAGGAAATCCACACGTTTATAAAGTAGCAATTTCAAGGTGAGTTTCTGGGAAAAAAAACAGATTTGTACAGAGTGGATGTGGAAAAAAACGCCGAAACAAGGCTCGCGACAATTAGTAGCACAAAACCCGAGACCCGGACCCGCAACAACACGGAACCGGCGCCGACAGGGCTGTTCACCACGAGCCCGGCACCTGCAACAAAGGTGCGACCGTTCGATTGTAACAATGGCGGTCCGTGGTTCTTTTCGCCAAGCCTGCTACGCCTTGGTGCTGTCGCCGCAAGGATGCATGTGCAAAAACACCGGCTGCCTGCAGCTGCCAGCAGGAATTGTGCACACGGCGCCACATGCGACGAGTTGAAAACATGTCGTACATTGTCACATTGTCGTACAAAAATTAGGTATCCTTGGTGTTGATGTTGTTTAGTTGATGTTATATGATGTGGTGTTGCCGTCAACCGGCTCGGCTTGTATGCGCTCGCAAGTTCGTGCGCGACGTCCGCCCCGATGCCACTCTAGTGGCAAGTACGGTCTCTTGGAAATGGTGCCGGGGTGCTCTTGGCGTATGCATCGTGGGTACATGCCGTGCGCAATCAATCAGCAGCCAACAAACGGAAGTAAGCACACAGTTGCATTTGTAGCCTGCATTGAAACAATGGTTTCTGATTGTGGTTGGAGCCCTAGTGCAAGGAAAAAAGCGATACGATAGTAACGAACATAGTAGTAGATAGTAGTAGATAATGGTAGATAGTAGTGGATAGTAGTAATAATAGTAGTAGTAGTAGTAGTAGCAGTAGTAGTAGTAGTGGTAGTGGTAGTGGTAGTAGTAGTAGTGGTCGTAGTAGTAGTAGTAGTAGTAGTAGTAGTAGTAGTAGTAGTAGTGATAGTAGTGATAGTAGTAGTAGTAGTAGTAGTAGTAATAGTAGTAGTAGTAGTAATAGTAGTAGTAGTAGTAGTACTAGTAGTGGTGGTAGCAGTAGTAGTAGTAGTGGTGGTGGCGGTGGTAGCACTAGTAGTAGTAGTAGTAATAGTAGTAGTAGTAGTAGTAGTAGTAATAGTAGTAGTAGTAGTAATCGTCGTCGTCGTTAGAAATATTCGTTGTCGTCGTCATGGTAATAGTCGTACCAGAAACACTACTATCAGTACCCACAGTACAACAACAACAACAACAACTACAACTACAACTACTACTACTACTACTACTACTACTACTACTACTACTACCGCCACCACCACCACGACGACGCCGGAGCGGTAGCAGTAAGCAGTAAGCAAGAAGCAGTAGCATTATTATTTGCAAACAAAAAATATTCATGCTCCGAGTAGCAAGAAGAAAAGACTGCGCATACAACATCGCAATCACACGCGGAGTATATCGTTTGCGCGTCACCTGCGCATGCATCAACCGAAAATATAACAAGTCCGTCTAGCGGGCTTTTGCGCGGCGTGCGAGCATGTACAAAACATACAGTACGTTGCACAATCGCGAAATTGTAACGCTGTAGGTCGAGTATGCTTGAGTGCGGTACATATACCACGAACCAGGTTGTGAAAAACTTGACCACATGCATGTGACCATATGTGACCGGTGTGGTCTTTCAGGTCCTGGCCAACGGAAAAGTCGAGTAGTGAGCCCGATTCGTTCCAGCGCTTTCGTCGGCCTAACTGAAACTTCAAAAATGTTGTTTGCCGTCGGCTGCATTCAGCCTTGGTTTCGCGAAACCCTTTGCGTTGCCAGCCTGTCATCTAGGCTTCACGGAGGTCAAACCGTGTGTCAGTCAAGCACGGACGATTCTTTGGCCATCGCCTGACCAATAGTAATGGAGCCTATACGTGGGTCACGACATGTGACGACTCATGCAATTGCAACATGTTGCGCCTGCAGACTCTCACCTACGAGCGCCGAGCGTTTCTCGGCACTTGCAGCTGGACTTGGCAATACGACGGCATCAATGCCGGTGGGTGTTGCGACCTCACGGTCAATGTGTGTGGACCCGGCACCTCGAAAACAGGACGCTGGCCCATGCACCTCCTCTGCAAATGGCCATGGTTTGGGCATGGTGGTGTCGGGGGGGTCATCGTCATGCGGTGCGAGCTGTTCGGAAACGTTCCTGAGGTAAGAATGTCCGGATGGACTGCCTCGGGACTCGAATCTTTCTTGTTTTTTTGTGCGGGATCTGCAAGTTGATCGAGGTGGCGGTGTTGCTGCTGCTGCTGCTGCTGCTGCTGCTGCTGCTGCTGCTGCTGCTGTGGCATGTGGCTGGTTTCAGCTCGGACCTTGGCGCGTTTGCTGGCAAGTGCCCATGGCAAGCCACATGCTGCATCAAGAAAAGTAACAACGTGCTGAGTCATGCTGACGGTCTTCCAGCAGTCGTGGAATGGTTCGGGCGAGCAACCGGGGCCAGGTGGCCGCTTCTGCACCAAACCGGCTTCCAACCTCGACAACAACCACCAAGCGGCAGCGACGAGCGCGCACAAGCACGGGGTAGGTCTGGTGACGTTTGCGTCGGGCGGCTGCATCGACCGCTCGCCCGGGGTGCACGTCTGCTCCAGGCTGCGCCGCACCCGCCCGCGCGGCAACGTTTCGTGACGAAGACCCTTCGTGACGAAAACCCATGCTCGTGTTGAATTGTAACCTTCGCATACTCCCCAACTGCTTTGTCCATAAAGCCATCGCTTTCACAACGTAAGAACCAGTTTTTCCTTCGGCGCGTTGGGTTCACTACTCGCCTTCACCGTCGGCCGAGTCACATGCATGTGGTCCTGTTTTCGTGATGTGGTTCGTGATATATGTACAACACTCAAGCAAACTCAAGCTACAGCATCTATACACGGGTGCGCTTCGTAACCACTCGCAAAATCTGCACGGATTTCACCATACACACTGAACAACTGCCCTAGAACACGCAAACCTGAAATCGACATGCTTTCCAGCATGCTGAAATAAACACAAAAACCTAGTCGTGGCAGGGAGCATGTCTTAACCATCTGCCAAAACGTCTCGCGGCAAAACACATATTCGTCGTCGTGACCGCAGTCGTGCTAGTGGTGGTGGTGGTGTTGGTAGTAGTGACATTGGTAGCCGTAGTCGTCGTCGTCGTAGGAAAGGCAATGGTAGGAGTAGTACCGGTAGTAATAATAATAAAAGTCGTAGTCGCAGTACTAGTCGTGGTGGTGGGGGGTCTGGGGTAGTAGTAGTAGTAGTAGTAGTAATAGTAGTAGTAGTAGTAGTAGTAGTAGTAGTAGTAGTAGTAGTAGTAGTGGTAGTAGTAGTAGTAGTAGCAGTAGCAGTAGTAGTAGTGGTGGTGGTAGTAGTAGTAACAATATTAGTAGTAGTAGTCGTCGTCGTCGTCGTAGTAGTCGTAGTAGTTGTAGTATAACTAGCAGCAGCAGCAGTAGTAGCAGCAGTAGTAGCAGTAGTAATAGTAGTAGTAGCAGTAGTTTCCGGAATGATTATTAATAACCCATGTTGGTGTTAGGAAACGTAGCACTGGCAATGTTGGTAGTGGCAGCAATAGACGCAGTCGATGTATCCACAGGAGTAACAGTACCACTACTACCAGCAACAGCAGCGGCAGTAGTGGTGGTGGTACTGGTGGTAATCGCAATCGCCGGGGTCGTTTCCGGACTAGGACTGGAATACACTGGCCTATTTGTTTGTACAATCGAAGTTGAAGTGGGCTAGGCCATATCAACAGCAGCAATGGCATCAGCAATAGTAGCTGTGATCGTAGTAGTGGTAGTCGTCGTAGTCGTAGAAGTCGTAGTCGTAGTAGTAGTCGTCCTCGTCGTCGTGGGCGTATTAGTCCTAGTACTAGTAGTAGTCGTCCTAGTAGTAGTAGTAGTAACAGTAACAGTAACAGTAACAGTAACAGCAACAGCAACAGTAACAGTAACAGTAACCGTAACACTAACAGTAACATTAACAGTAACAGTAACAGTAACACAAACAGTAACACAAACAGTAACAGTAACAGTAACAATAACACTAACAATAACAGTAACAGTAACAGTAACAGTAACAGTAACAGTAACAGTAGTAGTAGTAGTAGTAGTAGTAGTAGTAGTAGTAGTAGTAGTAGTAGTAGTAGTATTAGTAGTAGTAGTAGTAGTAGTAGTAGAAGTAGTAGTAGTAGTAGTAGAAGTAGTAGTCGTAGTAGTAGTAGTAGTAGTAGTAGAACTAGTAGTAGTAGTAGTAGAAGTAGTGGTTAGTAGTAGTAGTCGTCGTCGTAATAGTAGAAGTAGTAGTAGTAGTAGTAGTCGTCGTCGTCGTCGTCGTAGTAGTCGTAGTCGTAGTCGTAGTCGTAGTCGTAGTAATAGTAGTAGTAGTAGTAGTAGTAGTAGAAGTAGTAGTAGTAGTAGTAGTAGTAGTAGTAGCAGCAGTAGTAGTAGTCGTCGTCGTCGTCGTATGTAGTAGAAGCAGGGGTAGTAGTAGGAGGAGGCGGAGGAGGAGGAGGAGGACGAGGAGGAGCAGTCATAGTTTTAGTAATAGTAGTAAGACCAATGGTTCAAAATGTGTTGTTGTGTCGGCACGCGACTAGGAATGGTACTAGTCGTCGTTGTGGCAGGAAACGTACACACAGTAGTAGTAGTAGTAGTAGTAGCAGCAGCAGTAGTCGTCGTCGTCGTGGCAGCAGCAGCAGCAGTGGCAGTAGCAGTAGCAGAGGGAGCAGGAGTTAGAGTAGTTGCAGGAGTAGTACTCGTTGTCGTCATAAGGGTGGTGGTATTGCCGCTGTTGCTTGGAAAATAAATAAAGTGTTGCCGCAGCGTGCGCTGTGGTAGCAAGACTAGTCGTCGCCACGGTGGTAACACCAATTGCACCGTGCAAGTTGCACTGTGCAAATTCTACTGGCGAAACAACTCCTAATGTTGGCAATATGTGTCGTCGCCACCGTCGCCAAAATGGCGACAAAAATCAAGACGATGCCACGACCAACCGAAATCGTCGTCGTAGTAGTCGTCGTCGCCCTAATCGCAAAGTGGTAATATTAGCTAGTCATAACAATAAGACCACTAAGCAGCACGAGTCCTGAAACAACCGTCCAGCGGTCAGTAACTAAGAACTAAGAATGTGAAACTCGGAGCTCAAGGCAAAAGAATGTACATATATGCACAGCTCAGCTCAAATGCGTCGTCAAGTGCCACGGCGGGACTCTAAGCCCTCAAGCAACGATCTTTGAGCTTGGCATATGCTGGCCACAAAAGACATATGCGCACAGATGGAGGCGCGGGTGTTCTGCGAACCACTAGGGGCGAACAACAAGCGCAGAAACATTTCATCAGAAAGCGAACCGATATCAATGAAGCCTAAGGTCTGCAAACGGTTCGACCACTCGTTCCTCCAGTGGAGAAACATGGGGCAGTCACCCAGTGCGTGTATTAGGCTCCATTCATGGGACCCGCACAGGCAAGAGTGACACAAACCACGGTGCCGGGCAGCACGCCCGTCAATGAAGGGATGATTGCCACACCGAGCAAGAGTCCACTCCCTTACCACATGCTCTGGCAATCTGGAAGAATGAATCTCCGAGCGAAAGTTGAGACAGGGATGACACATCGAAGAACAATAAGGGTAGTGGTCGTCGTCCCATTCGTTGCACGTGCCCGCAAACGGTGTAGTTCTAGTTGTAATGGTTGGTGTTTTTGTGGTTAGACTACATAGCAGCACAAACAACATGTACCGGCAGCTTGGCAATTGTCGCGCCTCTTCCCGTCCGCGAAGGGCTTTCCTTGTGGCGACCTACACGACACACCGAGTGGCCCAGAGCGCCGGCGTTGGTAGGCGACTGTCAGCGACGACCACGGCATCACGGGCCAACAGCTCACCCAGTGGTGGCGGAACTTCGTGGCACCGCTGCGCGCTCTACAACGGCAGCTCCAAGAGCGATGCGGCATGCGCATGTTGGGCGGCCACCGCCAGCATCCCCGTCCATTGGTGGATGCTGGCTCAGCACACATCCCACCGCAAGCATGCAGGCAAGTGCCTTGGCCGCGGCAAGGTGCAGGAACGCGACAATTTCCGCCTCCATCCGCCCGCCAATGGTGAGGACGTGTTGGAGGAGAAAACGCAGCCTCCTCCTCGTGGCACTACTCCTGCGACGGCGACGGAAGAACCGTTCGTTGTCAGTATGCACACAACAACACAGCTATAGGAGCACCACAAAGGCACTCGGGATCAAGCCTTGTGCGTGCCGGGCGATTCTGCCACCCTGAAGCAGGTACTGACCACAACGTGCTTACATCCACTCCCGAAGCAGGGAGGACGCGAGCCGCGAGAAATGGATAGAGTTGCCACCGTTCATGTGGGCTGATACACGGCATCATCCGCAAGGGACTGCAATGCCATCAATTTCCCATGAGAAATGCTTTGCGATCATGGTTGCGACAAATATGTTCCAATCATTTGCAGCATCAGTTTGCAATTGAAGAATCTGTCTAATCCGGGGAAGAGGCTCTCCCTTGCTCCAAAATCGGCGGAGTTTCCAATCAGTTGAGCTTAAACAAAAAGGAACCACCAAAATAGTATAGGTCATTGTTAAAGCCTCTACATTGCACCGGGCAGAAGAACGGACTAATTCCAGTGACCGTCGCGAATATTGACGGCAAAGGAAAGCCGGCCAGAGGTTTCATTTACCCCGGCCAGCACAGTCAAATTCGTCACCGTTTCGACAGACCACGACGCGCCTAACGCATTCGGCAAAGGGAAGAACCGCGCGTGGCAGCTGGCAGAAACGCATCAGCAAGTACTTCAGTCGTCGGCATCTTTTCAAACGGAGGGCTGGTGCAGCATTGTCGGCGCCACATCCCGGGCTAGCTAGCAAGCGCAAAACGATCGCGCCAGGTAGTTGGGGTACCATGCACACCTCCACGCTCGGCTGCATGCCTTTGATCTGCGCCTCGATCGCTTCCGGACGGCACACGAGGCCCCTGACACATCGCCATACTCCGATAGCTACATCTCGGCGTGAAATTCGCTTCTACTGCCGTCCATAACAGGCCGCATCAGGCTCACGTGCGGACAAAAATAAAGGCAATGGCACCGGCAATCTCGGCGAAATCAGCAGGGCAAAGCTCGGCGGACGGACCGCCTATTGGGATCAGCCGTCCTGCCGACAGACGCGACCCACTCCCACAATATCTTCGCGGATGTTCGGCATCCTCATCATCAACACCTCCAGGCTGCAAGACGAAGTCTGACGATCACTCCAGAGCTCAAGACCCTGGAGTTCAGGAACAAACCTTTAACGGCATGGGGCTGCCGGTGATAATGATTTGACATAAAGAATATATGATTGACGAACTCAGGAGCATGGGGTTCTCTGCGTTCATGCGCGACGCACCTGAAGTGCCGGAGGCATTGGCAGCGGCTGAGGCCAACGCCTGCACTGAAATGAGCACATGGACAGTCGTGATGCGTAAACCTCGCTCTACACCACCGCATAATCGCTCTGAGAACAAGCCAGTCGGTGGCAACCGAAGGGCCGTGCTTTCTCTGCCTGGATCGGCTGTAAAGGATGCGCGACGGCTTGGCGTGTCTTGTCGCGAGCTACGTTCAATGCTGGACTACGTTCGTGTCTCACTGTGATCTCAGTGGTTGCTTAGAAGTGTCATCGCCGAGGGCCCTGGCATGATTCCGTGTTGGCTCCCCTTAAATGCACTTCGATGCACAATACGACTACGAAGAAGAAGAAAATTAAAACAACAACTACAACAAAACGTGGTCTAATAATTATGATAATGACGGTTTCAGAGAGACAAGAGGGCTCTGTCCCCAAGCCCGTTTTCTGTAGCCATCGTACGCGGAAACCCGACCCCTAAAACCTCAGCAGTGACTTTCGTTCTCTGGATCTTTGCTAGAAACCCCAGTTGAGTTGATGATGTTGATGATGATGAGGAGAATGAGGATGAAAAATATAATGATGATGATGCTGCTGGTGACGATGACGATGATCATGATGGGGTTGGGTGGAAAACGTGTACTTGCGGCCTTCGGGATTGGGGGCAACTTAGGGGTTTGGGGATTTGTTGGTTGCAGACTCTATAGGCTAGAGGGCTCGGGTTCAGGCGCTTCGGGTTTTGGGGTTTCAGGCTGGGTCTAAATATTGCTTCAATCTCTGTACGGACTGGTTTGCCATGCCTGTACCACCAGCCCAGCACTCCTGCTGTCGGCAGGGAAATCACCAGGGCCAACAGCAGCGTTGCAGTGAAAGAAGCCTGCAAACTTTCATTCAGCTGACGTGCTTATGGTTGAGGGAGTAGAACTTTCGGTTCTACAGGCTCAAGACAAATCTCACGGCCCACGAAACCTAGTGAAACCCCTTTACCTAGCCGCAGTCTCAGCAGATGTATCCAGCACCATCAGCACCCTAAGACATTTGATGCTAAAACCTTAAACCTTCTGAGCAAGGAATATGCCTCAAACTACACAGCGACTGCCTGCTATGATCTCGCGACTCCTCGACGGATGAAACCAACAAACCCAAATCTGAGCCACAATACCCTTATCCACTTTTCATGGCTTAAGCCCCCATAGCCAGCAGCCCAGTTACTAAACCCTAAACCCCGAGGCTGGGCAGAGAGCTGAGCCTCCAGAGGCACCGCAGTCCTCTGCCCTTCTGGGGCGCCAGAAAAAGCAGTCGTGCCTGCTTGGAGCGTACAAGGGTTCTTTCAGGGTTCCAGTTAGGGTCCCCTAACAGGGTCCTATATTGGGTTTCGGGTTTGCTTGGAGGTTCATGGGTAGTTTTCAGCGGGGGGCGTATAGGGTCCTGTAAGGGAGCTAGAAGAGCTCAACAAAGGTTCTATTGTAAGGGCTAAATGGCTGAAAAATCCCCTAATGAACCGTGAACCTCCAAGTGGGATCCCATCCACCCCGCAATGTTTCAACACACACGATCCCAGGCACCTCCTGGATGGCGAGTATAGCTTGGGGATCTGTGTCCCTAAACCCTAAACCCTCTAACCCGAAACAAGACCCTATAGACCCTCTAAGCTTCGTGATTTGTTCCGTGATTATTGTAAGTTCCCTCTCCGGTTTCGGGTTTAGGGTCTACGGCCTCAAGGTCCTTCCGGGTACTAACGATCTGTTTCGGCACTAGGTGTGTCGTGTAAAGATGGGCTCGACACGATGGATCTGCACCTACACAGGTCGCGTGTCCAAGTAGTAGAATGGTTTATACTTTGCGGTCCCCAAAATCTACCAAAAAGTTAGTATATTGGAACTCGGACCCTTTCGGTATGCAACGTTGCCAACGTGACCAAAATCAACGAAACAAGACAAGCCAAGACGAGACAAGACAAGAAAAGACAAGACAAGGTCAGAAAGCTTATTGCAGAAAACCACTTCTATTCAGGGTCTCGGTACATCCCTCTTTCCATGTTCAGCCTACGGCAGCATACATACACCGCGCACCGGCCATGGATGTTGAGCACCACCCTGTTGCAAGAAAAGGGATTTCCCATCATATCGCTCCCCGTTAGCTTATAGAACATATGACACCTGCGTGGTTGTCAAAATTATGCTCCCTTTTTGCGTCCCTAATATAGTACGGCACCTAGTATTTAGGCTACCCGCAAAGTGACCCTAATTTTGACAACCACCCACATGAAGGCATGGGCTAACTGACGCAGGATTTGGCCCATCAAGGAACCCCGGCCCAAAGCCCTGAACCGCACAACCTCAACTCCGAACTTGCCCAAGCCTGGAGCCCTAAATCCCTAGACCTGAAACCCATTAAAGCCCCTTACCGAAAACCTCAATGGCCGTCAAAGCCCTGCACATAAAATCCCAAACCCGACCGGAACCCTAAAAGAACCTGCGGGGTTCTTGATTATGACTTCATTATATGAATCCTTAAAACGGTAGGCTCTTCGGGGTTCCGGTTAACCCTACACCCCTAAAGCCTAAAGCCTAAACCCCAAGCCCTGAAACCCTAAACCCCTAACCCCCAAAAAGGATCAACCCTAAGACCTAAACCCCAAACACCCCTAAACCCCCCTGAACCATAAACCCTACAAGCCCTAACCGCCCTAACCCCTATAAACCCTAAAACCCCTGAACCATAACCTCAAAACCCTAGCCCCTAAACCCCTAAGCCCTAGCCCTCATGGCCTCCTTGGCATTGTTGCACTGACCGGAAGGCGCGCCCATCTGCGCCCAGAGCTCGGCAACTTGGCCAGCCTCAGAGATCCACCCCCCAGAAGCTTTAGGGTGTAGGGTTTTAATTTGGTGAGTTAGGGTTTTAATGATTTAGGGGTTTATCGGGTTTAGGGTTTTAAGGTTTAGGGGGCTTGGGGGGTTCAGGGTTTGAGGCTCATGGGGGTTTGGGGGGTTTAGGGTTTTAAGGTTTAGGAGGTTTGGGGGTTCAGGGTTTCAGGCTTAGGCGGGTTTGGGGGGTTCAGGGTTTCAGGTTTTGGCGGGGTTTGGGTTTTAAGGCTTCGGGAGCTTGGGATTTAGGTTTTCAGGTTTGCGGCATTGGGGGTGTACTGTACGGCTTTGACGAGGGTTTAGGGGGTTTAGGATCTACCTTAATCCCAAACAACCTACCCTTTCGAGTACCCATATGAAGACTTCAGAATCAGGAACTCTTAAAAGGTAAGTTATGTGTGGTCCAAGGTTTAGGGTTGGGGGGCAACCGAGGAAGCCCAGACCCCCGATAAAAGGGAAGGCTTCTTCTTAGCTCTGCTCTTAGCCTAACAGCCCTTGAACCGTAAACCCCAAACTTAAGCCCTGCTTTAGGGAAGCCCCCACAGTCCGTGCTAGAACCCTAAACTCCTAAACCCTCAACCCCAACAGTTGCCACGCTGTCGGCTTCCAGGAAAGCTTGGAAGGTGTCTTCGTCCATCCATGTCGAACAGCCATGGGTGCACCGATATCGTCCACAGGAATCTCGCGGGCCGAGCGGTCCTTACTGCGCCATAGGCCCTGACTGCATAGGTGACGCCACAAGCCACCTGCGGCTCGTCACCTGGCAAAGCTGGCAGCCCAAATGGTCTCGAGGGATGCCGGCATGCTGAGGAGACGGTTGGTGATATAAAGCGTGCCTTACCCAAAATAAGTAGGATACCATAAATAATTCCCATGCTGGATTTATATCCCTAAACCCTAAACCCTAAAACCCTGCAGATCCCTTCAAGGAGCCCCTTAAAGGTGCACTTGACGATCCCCTTAAAGGAACCCCAGGATGTATATGGGAGTTTCAGAAAATTGGGGTACCTTAGTTTGGGTCCCTAAAATAAGGATCCTACTATTTAGGGTACTATACAAGGGTTCCCTTTTGTCGGAAACCCCCATGTCATCAACAGAGAGCGCCTGACTCTCCCCTCGCACAAGCGAGGCCTTCCGCACAGTTACAGCCGAAAATAATAAACTCAAAGCAAGCAGCCCCAAGGAAACACTAGGCTACCTTAGAAGGGGCCCCCACCCTGTAATAGTGACTATAAGGATTATATTGGGGCCCTATTATATTCCGATTTTACCACTATTACAGGGTGGGGGGCTCCTTCTAAAGGCTACCACGTAGCGGCCTTTAGGGTGCAGCTGGAATGTTCTTTAACTAAAACAGCTATGTTGGATGACTTGGGATTTAGGGCTTGCTTGGTATCCATGCGACACGAGTACCCGAAACCACAGCCCCAAACCCTGAGGCCTGAAAACCCCTGACAGCAAAAAGCAAACTGCGCCCTGAACCCCTAGACTCTTAAATCCCTAAACCAAACTCTGAACCCTAAACATTAATTGAACCCCAAACCCTCTAAAACACACAACAAAAAATAACAACTTGCAGATCGAGTGCCCGAAAGCGGCGCGAGGCCGCGTAGAGGCGGCAAAATCCGGCAGAGGCGGCTTCCGCGCTTGAAGGAGGCCGCCATCGCTCCAGTGGTCTGGGGTTGAGGGTTTTGAGCTTTGCATGAGCCTTAGGGTTCTAGGGTTTAGGGGTTTGTGGTTTAATTGGGGCTTGGGGGTTCGGGCTTTAGGGGTTTTTGGGGTTTGGGATTTTAAGATATTTAAAGGTTCGGGCTTCTTTTGTCTTTGGGGCTTCGGGTCGACAGCTGCTGTTGGTCAAAAGCGGGCACTGAGCCGAAACGCTTTAGGGTTTGGGGGTTTAGAGTTTCGGAGTCTTGGGGCTCTGGGGCTTTAGGAGTTTAGGGTTTAGGGTTTAGGGTTTAGGGTTTAGGGTTTAGGGTTTAGGGTTTAGGGTTTAGGGAGGGTTTTTTACTTCCTTGGCTGCACTTTTGAAGCCTCTGGTAAATGGTGGGAGACAAAACCCCAAACCCTAAAACTATACCTGTGGTCTGCCTGACTTCTATTTCCTGTGCATGATGCTCTTCAGCCGGCAGGAAACGAAGTTGGCGGTTTAGGGTTTACGAGTTTAAGGTTTAGGGTTTTCGCACTTGCGGCTCCTGATATATGGGTGGTTGTCAAAATTATGTTCCCTTTTTGGGTCCTTACTACAATACGGCACCTAATATTTAGGGTACCCCAAGCAGGGGCCATAATTTTGACAACTACCCATATGCAAGGGTTTAGGGTTGAGGGATGGTGGACGTAGCAGTTCATCGTAATGCATCAGCATCAGCTCAGGCATAGCGTCAGACAACTGTTTTGGCCCCTGATATCCTTTTGCGGAGGCCTTTCTCGTTCGAAGAACAGGGCCCTGATTGAGAACAAGGCCTAAGTTTCCAGGGGGTTGTCTTCATTCACCATGTTTGGCAGAAGTGCTGTCTCGGACTTGTTGTTCGGAACTAGCGGCGTTTTTGTAAGAATAGTTCAGGGTACAGTGTGCGGCCCAGGGCATGTGGCTACATCTGGCACGAGTCTGTGCATGACTTGTGGACTTCGGAAAAGCCTTACACGCACACAGAGAGCACCAAAACACACGCGCGCACACACGTGCACACACGTGCACACGCATACACGACAGTACGACAAAGTCGTGGGTCTACCAGCTGCGCCGTAGCAAGGTTGCGTAGGGAGCTTCACTCCTGGACACAAACCGTGGCCGTGGCAGTCAGCTCTTTTTCGTTGCGGGGCACGGTGCAGAGTCGCTAAGATCCGAGCTCCGAAGCTCGTGGTAAGACTGGGTACGAACCCGATTTGGTGGTAGAAATCACCAACCCCACGCCCACAACTCCAAGTTCTGCGAGCTGCTGTCTCCAGACGGAAAAACGCGAAAGTCGCTCCCCCTTCCTATCAAAACCCTAGGCCACCTTCCCCTGTGCCGGAGAGCCCATGATCTTTGACCCGGCATCCCAAAGAAGGGCAAAGAAAGGCTAAGACTGTCTGGTGCTTGGTAGGGAATGGGGGAATGAATCCCTAAAGTAGCCCCTATATAATCCCCAACAATAGTCCCCATTCCATTCTCCCATTCGCTGCTAAGCACCATGGAGTAGACCCTAAGCCCTAACGTTTGGGGTTGAAATGCAACGGCACATTCACTCACAGAGCCAAAAGTCGAATCATCAATCCGTATGCAGAAGCCGCAAGCTTGAATCCGAACGTGCAAGAACGCATTACCCTAAGGCCCCAAAGTAGTGCCTTTTTGGGAGTCATATTTAGAATCCTACAAGGTAATCCCAAAAAGGAACTACTTTGGGGCCTATGGGTAGGTAACAAGCATGCAGTCCATGCAAGTGCGCATGCAATCATGCATACATGCATGTCTGCACGCACATCTGCTGCTACTGCCACTGCTACTGCTACGAACCACCACGGCCACCTCGCCAACCACCACCACCACCTTGATCGCCACTGCCATGTTGATATTTAAGCTGCTTGTATTGATGAACGCGGAAGAACCCCAGTACACATCATAGAGCCTGTAAGAAACATTTAAAAGAAAAAAGCACTATTCTCCGCAAACCCTTTGACAAGCCTGTACACAAAATCCAAAAGCCCTAAAAGCCTTAAACCCAAAAACCCTATAAACCCTGAACCCTATGTAGTAGTACCCCCTTAATTCTGCGGGCTCCCCGGCTGACCCATGGGAGCACTCAGGAGTTTTCTGGCGCTTCCGTGGGGGCTGCGCTGGGCGCCTCTGTCGCTGGTGGCTCCTGCATGGGGCTTGTGGCTAAGAGTTTGGGGTCTAAGGTTTAAGATGTAGGATATAGGTTTCGGGGTTTGGGGTTCAGGATTTAGAAATTTGGGGGTTTAGGGTTTGTCGGGTTTGTTGTTACGCGTTTAGAGTTCGGAGGTTAAGGCTCGTCTTGGCGAAGGCATTAGGATAGGGAGTAGGACGTAGTCGAGGAATAGCGTTATAGGGTTTTAAGGAATTCTGCGTCAGAGGTTCGGTTTGATGGTTCAGGAAGTCGGCTTCCATTTAGAATGTGCGGCTGATTCTATCCCTTACAGGAGGCTGCTCTGCAATGGGTGTCTCCGATAATTTTACTGGGGGCTTGTCATGAGTAGGCGACGGCTCACAGTGGCTGTCTGGACCGAAGGTCACGATGATGAATGTCAACTATGCAGTGCCCCATCTTCGAAGTGCGAAGAATGCACAAGCATCATTTGGAGGTTTCCCAAAACAACGGGTGTACCATATTAGGGCCATATTTTTTCGGAAACTCCCATTTGTGTTTCGCTGAAATCCGACGACATGATTTGCGACCGGAAACCGGAGACTGGCGCAAGCAGGCAGAACCAACCCGTGCTGGTTGGGTGCGGACCGCCGACCAAAACCCCCGGCCCCGCCAGCATGCGTTTAACACAGGTGCCTGAACAAGTAGCATAGAGGTTTTGGGGAATACTATCGCAATATGTGTCCTGTAAGTGGCCCGAAGGCCTGCAAAATTTCGCATCCGTTATTCTTTCTGACCGATTACCCCTGAACCCTGAACGCTGAACGCTCAACCCAAAACCCCTTGTAAACCCTATAAATCCCGAAACGAAGATATATGGTTTCTAAAGCCTGAAACTACCTCAGATCCTGTTTTCTCTCTGTAGTGAGAGTACTCTGCCTCGGTCGCCGTCTGCTCGGCGGGCTTTGCCGCGTCGCCTCTGACTTACATGGGTTTGGCTTAGGGTTTGGGGTTTTATGTTTAGGGCGTGTACTGGTTTAGGAGTTTAGTTTTTGTGTTGGCACGTGTTCGGCCCAACCCTCCCATCGAGTCTCCTAAACAGGAATTAGGGTTAGGGTATAGGGTTTAGGGCTGCTTCGGGGAAAGAGTGTACGCTTTAATTACGGATCAGGATTGAAGCTCTTGGGATTTAAGGCATAGGCTTAGGGGTTTGAGGGTTTGGGGCAATGGGGATATGGCGGACGGTAAAGCTTTGCTTGAGGCAATGTCACGAGTACTTCTTTGAGTGAACTTGGGGTAGACGTGCTCAACTTCAAACTCTCCTTGTGAAAGGCAAAAGGGGGTTGCCGGGTGCGTCTGAACAGAGCGCAAGAAGGTATTCTCGAACAGGTTCTCCTCCTTCATGGACGTCGTGAGCATTGCGATTGCGTTGATGAATCGGCTTTTCTGTCCCGTACCCTTGCTACTCACCGATGCTGTCAGTCGTTCGCCGTCTGATATCTTGAAGCCTCTCATGGTTTTACCACAACTCCCGACGAAGTCGTCTTTGTAGATGACGCCAAGCTGCTCGCGGCTGGACTTTTTCATTTTCATCTTGGCAAGAGGACGTCTTTCACCATGGTTTGCTTGGTAGCCACCATAGCAATGTCCTGTCCGGCAAAGTGATGTTGACGGCACACTCGAGCTCGCTATCACGCTGCTCCTCCTCCTTGACCTCGTTGTGTATCCTTATACGTTGCAGGCTATAGTGAAGTCCTGCAAATCAAGCTACAAGTAAGGTTGAGTGCACACGCCGAGCTCTAGAGCACAACTTGACGGAACATGCCTTCGAAACTACACAGGCTTGAATCAAGAAGCCCGCAACCCTGCAAGTGTGTCCAACACTTGGAGGTTTGTGCACCTCTTTAGCGAGCAGGGCGCAGGGTGCATTGCGGTCATTAGAACATGCTACAGGTGCCCATCTTGGCTCGCGAAAGGCGAAAGCCCGGCATGCTGGGCAAGTCATGACCCTAAATCCTGAACAGAAAATTTCAGCCTGGACTTTTATTTAGTTATTAGGATTATGAGGACCCTTTGTGAAACCTCTACACTACGTCACTACATAGAAGCCCTTGTAGAACTCCGTAGAGAAACCCTTCGACGAACCCTAGTCTAACTATCGAGGCTCAAATCCATCTTTTCTGGTCTCCCTCGATTCCTGCCTGGGCTTGGCACTGGCTCTGCTTTGGGTGCCTCCTGGCTCGCAGAACGGTTAGGGGTTTAGGACTTAGGGTTTAGTTTGGGGTTTAAGGTTTAGGGTTTCTGTTTAGGGTTTAGGGTTCAGGGTTTTGTCTTGTTTGCAATGGTTTTTCTGCAGGATAACATAGGGGTTTTACGACAAGAACGAACCCAGCCGATGCAGTGATTGGGGAGCCGTCTAGGGTACAGGCTGTGCTTTACAGGGCTTTGAGGTTCAGGTCGCATACACACAAACTAGGATGTTGCTATCTGGACGGAAGATGCTGACCTTCCCGCGCAGGAAACAGACCTCCATTGCTTTGAACGCTCCCTCAACCCTAAAACCCTGAAGCCCGAATAAATGCTAAACGACCCACGACCTACAAAAAACAACAGAAGCCCTTTATATAAGCCCTAAACTCCTCAACCCCGAAACTCAAAAAATCCTAACCCCCTAAATACAACCCCTAAGATCCCCTATGAGCGCCTCTGCCGGAGTGGCGGGAGAGGCGGCTGGCTCCGATGGCGCCTGCGTGGGGAGTACCCTGTAAGCCTAGCGTCGCTGCAACCAAAAGGAGCCCGGTACAAAGCTGGAAGTCCCTGGGGTTTAGGGTTTACGGTTAAGGGTTTATGGTTTTAGGGTTTAGGGTTTAGGGTTTTTAGGGTTTGTCATGAAACATCGCAACAAAAGCCACGGAGCCTGGCTTTCACTCCCTCGTGCCTAGTAGGGAATGGGGGAACGGATCCCTATAGTAGCCCCTCTATGTGTGTGTGTGTGTATGTATATATATATATATATATATATATAAAATTCCCAATAATAGCCCCATTCCCCCATTCCCTGCTAAGCATCAGGGAGTTAGCTATAGAGTAACTATATATGTTGACTACACATCGACCGAGCTTCGGAGTGCAAGCCGCCACTCAAGCCTTGTAGGCAAGAGCAAGCTGTCGAGCCATTTATTCCTGCTGTTGTAGCTAATCTGGAGGACAAGCATTCGTTCGCCTAAGAATATGCAGATGGGAACTCTCCGGATGGCATTCATCCGAAGGCCAAATCTGCGCGAATTGCGGCTCGTCCTGCTTCTATTCGCATGGACAGCACGCGTGACTGCTGTCTCGCACCCGTGCGAAGGCAGCCGAGAATCTTCAATCAAACCAACCCAGGGGTTCCAAATTGCTCGAAGAAGGCTCCACAGTAATTAATTATGTGCTTAAAAGCTTGTTGTAGGAATTTGTAGGAACTATCTGTAGACTTGAACCTTTTGTTTTCCTAAGGGCAGTACTGCAACTCCAGCGCATTTTTGCAAACAGAGCAACCTTGGGCTGGCAGCGGCTAACTTAGGCCAGAGGGGGGGTATCGGGATCATAGCTTTCAGATCTAGGGTCTTGGCACTTTCGATTTGGGCATAGCTAGGGTTTACGATTTTTCTGCAAATCCCAAAAATATCCATGAGTCATCTCACACTACATCCCAAAGGTCTCGAGAGGTGTCCCCTGGAAATGCTCCGTCTGAGAGTTGAGGTACGGTATGTTCGCCTAAACCCTAGAACCCTTCTAAAATCCATAGACAACCGAATCAAACCCAGAAGATCCCTTGTAAGACCGCCGACAGAGCCCTTCAGGCTGAAATCCTAGAAAGCTGGGGCTTAAGGTTGAGGGGTTTGGGGTTGAGAGCATGCGCAAGAAGAATAAGCCTTCAACGCGGGTGGATACGATGAATGCCCGGTGGTCGAGTGCAAGGCCACCGCCAGTGGCATCAAGGCTACTGATTACTCCAGCTTGTTGCTGCTTCTTCTCGTTCTTCGCAACTTCTTTATACCTGCCACCCGTAGCGCTGAACAAAAATCTCCTAGACCTAAGCTGCCACGAAACCCTAAAACCTAAACCCCAAAACTTAAAGCCCAAACCCCATGCGCAATAGGCCGTCCCTTCACATCCGGGTTTAGGGTTTAGGGTAAACCTGAAACCCCAAAACCCTCAGCCCTAGACCCATGCACAATAGGCCGTCGATCTGGCCACCAGCAGCCTTCCTATCACTCATCTGCACGAGGATCTTTGCTCTGCATTGGTGCAAATTAGTCGGGAAGTTGCATGTGGGAAATCGTGCCGCTTCGGACGTTCATACTATATTTGAGCATGATAGCTTAAAGTAAGTTGCCAAATAGGGGTCCAGAATAGTCAAATCCACGCCGCCACTGCTGATCTCAAACACTCGCATAGGCAAAATCCGCACCGCGGATATCTCAATGTAACTAGGGTTTAGGGTTCTAGGGTTCAGGGCTCAGGATTTACGTGGAGGGTTGAGGGATTTAGGGTTTAGGGTTTCCTATATCCTACTTACATCAAGCTTCTTATAACCTCCGAAGCTCCTACACAAGCTTTGAGGTGGCGGGCTGAGTGACTTATCCACCAGAACCTCAGCCCGAAACAACCAAATTGCCAAAAATCACGGTAGAGGCTTTGGGGTTTATAAGGTTCCCCCCGACCCAAATCAAAAAGCAAATAAACAAAAATGAGGATAGTGATATCCGAAAATAACACAGATAAGCCCCCCTAATAATGAAGCCCAATATGGTCGGGATAGCACTGTAAAATTCCTGTGCTTTATGTCGTTTTGGGGTTCCTAATTTAAAGCTCAGGGGACCGAAGCTGTTGGTCAAGAAGTGTCACACTTCAATACGCTTTAGGGTTTAGGGGTTTCGGGTTTATAGAGGTTTATAGGGTTTAGGGGGTTAAGGTTTAGGGTTTGTCCGGTAATTTTGCAACATCCCTTGCCAGAAGCTAGTTGCTGTCGCGCCTCCACGACGGGCATTTAGAGATCTATCACCAGCAGACTTGGTAAGCAGGGTCATAGGTAAGGTACGCATAGGCCCCAAAGTAGTTCCATTTTGGGATTACCTTATAGGATTCTACATATGAACCCCCAAAAGGAACTACTTTGGGGCCTGAGGGTAGCTATACGTGCAAATGACCTCAGCTACGAAGTCCAATACATCTCCCAAGGGTTTAGGGTTTAGGGTGTTTCTTGGTGAGGTGTCTACGTTAATTCCAAGACCACAAACCCACCGGAAGTCCGACGTCACCCAATGGTGAGTTACTTGGAATGGGGCACCCAGCTGAGGACTTGTTGAAACCCCAAATCCCTGTCATGGAGGAATGGTGTCCCGAATGGTCCCAGGACACTACGCCAAAGAAATGTGCGAGCGTGGCCACGCACCCGGAAGCCACCCGGGTATGTGATGGCTTTAAGTTCCAGAAGCATCTAAGCATAAACCGAGAAGATGTGAAGGTAGCTTGCGGGCTTTCGGGGTCTAAGAACTTAAGCTTTGGGCTTGTGGCGATCAAGGCTAACGTTAGAGCTCCAAGTCCCAAGTTCAGCACCAGTACAATCACCGGCCACAGACCCCAAACCCTCAAGCCCTCAGCTAAAAATGCAGTCAATGTTGGTACCTACCCATAGGCCCCAAAGTAGTTCCTTTTGGGGATTACCTTATAGGATTCTAAATATGAACCCCAAAAAGGAACTACTCTGGGGCCTTAGGGTAGTTGTAAAGGGTTTAGAGTCTTAGAGCTTGTAATGCAAGCTGGGATGTGGCAGTCGTGCCCGGGTCAGCTCAGCAAACTGCGGCGCTCTCGTCCTCCTGGGTTTGGAAGCTGGGACATGTTCCACAGATCCGGGGTCTCTTAAGGAAGGTCATGGGACAAAGTCACGCCCCAATAAACCTACCTTATGGCTATGTTGGAGAAGTATTAGCAAATAATGATGCCAACAATAATCGCAACACCAATAGTTACAACAACACTGACTCGCGCCAAGTTCGAAATGTGGAACCTCTTTCAAGCACCAAGTTGCGCTGGAGTCGGAGCCGCTACTCCAGTCCTGGCAGAGGAAGTGTCAAGCTTACGAAACGAGCTGGAACTACTCGGAACTACTCGGGCAGGGGGGTTCTTAGAAGAGTGTAAGAGCGTTACGGGGTCTTAACAAACACAAGGATTTCAAGCTTGTTTTGTAAAGGCTTCACAGTACTCTTAAGAGAAAGGCTTTCATAAGCTCTTCGCCCGCCGTGTTCAGGCTTCTTTGTAGATTCTAAAGGAGGGTTGTGCAGGGTAAGGGGGCGGGCGGGGGGGTGTCTTCTTCATATGACGCTACCTTTGGTCGGTGTCGTTGTCAAAAGGGTCGCATCAACATTTCATGACCACGAGGGCCGTTGGTTATGGAAAGTCCTGTATCTACGCTTCTCTTGCTACACGAACCTTAATTATCATAAACAGTCATATCCAAACCACCTACTGCAATATGTCTAAATGAATGACCGATGCAAGGCCTCATCTGCATAAGAACTTTTCCCGAGAGCCCAACACCTCTTCACCACGGAATAAACGTTGAACCGAAGAGGGTCTCTGATTAAGATTCAAGGAGCAGTCCTTCAGAAAAGCTAGGTTCCACAGTAGCCCCCTATAATAACAACAAACAAGGGTACCCCTTGTCCTACTCTTTTGCTTTTCATAGGCTTGGTTTGGCCGACGCACAGCGCCCCCGACGGACCATGACTGTCAACTCCAGTCCACGGCCCCTCACCCGAAACTCACACCCGAAGCGCAACATGGGAGTTTCTGAAAATTAGGGTTACCTTATTTTGAGGTCCTTATAATAAGCATACTACTATTTAGGGTACTAATTGTATTAGGGCGCCCTTTTTTCGGAAACTCCGGCAGTGGGACTCCAAACAGTCTTTGCGCATGCCCAACACATCCAACGAACAACCGCCAAAGACGATCTAGGCCCTGAACCCCTAAACTTAGAAATCCTAAACCCTAAACCCTGAACCCCTGAACCCTAAACCCTGGAACCGTAAACCCATAAATCCTAAACCCGACACCCAATATGTACCCTGATCCCCTGGACCCAAACCCCGCACCAAAAGCCTGCCAAAGGTCCCGAGTCGCGACATGGCCTTGAGCCCTCTGGTCCCCCAACCCCGGCTAAACCCTACTATACCCTAAGGGTCCATGTACTCATATAGTATATATACATTAGCCTTAATGTAGTCCCTGTTTGGATACTTTGGGGCCCATGTATCTCTATATGGGTACATGGACCCGTGGGGATAGAGGCCTTAATACTTAGGATAGGGCTCCTTTGAAGAGTTCCTTTAATGGGGGTACTATAAGGGATCTAGAAGGGCACTATAACGCCCAAACTAGTATCGGCAATGATTAAAGCTTCTATATTACGCACCTTACACCCAAACCTCTAAACCCTAGGCCCTAGAAACCCTTAAAGCAGCGCTAACCTCCCTAAACCCAATGGGCGGTAGACCCTAAGCGCTAAAAAGCCCTGTAACCCCAACAAAAACCCAAAACCGGATAAATCCTATAAGCCCATCCTAAACCCCTAAGCCCGAAACCCCTCAACCCCTGGTGGGAGCCTCCACCTCCTTGTCGGAAGTGAAGCCCACCTTCTCCTCCGGATTTACGGCCGTTTTGGCCTTCTCCTGCGAGAAGAAAGGAGAAAGGCGGATAGACGAGCCTGACCTTGAGGCCTTAGGGTTTAGGGAACTACTAAAACCTACTTGTTGTAGGACCCCTCTAACTTCTATACTTGGCTTTATAATCAGAACCTATAAGCAAAAAAGGTAGGTTATGGTAGCTTCAGAGCAGGGGTTATCAGGGGTTTGCTGTTCATTCTATTACAAGGAGACTGTTAGATACTCTTGACTGTTAGCTACTCTGGGGATCAAATGGCCCAAAAGCCTCATTTGGTATGGTCTTTGGTCCCAAAAGCTCTACCCAAAGGGTCCAAAGTACCTTTATAGTAGAATGTAGGGTTTCGATATTAGGAATTACTAATATGATTTGGGGAAGTATCCCCCATAACAGTACTTTGGGCCCTTTGGGCTAATATATTCCTCAGAGCCCCAGGGTTCAAGAATAAAACAACTACGAACAACTATCTGCCCGGACCCGTGCATTTGCAAACTTACTTCAGGGCTTGTGGACCTCGGGTTTCGGGGTTAAGGGTTTACGGGTGCATGGTTGGGGGGGCTCTGAGGCTTTTCCGATTTGGGAAGTCGGGTTTAGAGATGTAGGGGCGTGGGATCAACAGTTTTGGGATTTGAGGCTGGGGTTTAGGGAATAGACTCTAGGCTGGCAAGCCTCTGAAAAAATCCCAATGACGGAGAAGACACAATTCCGACAGGCCTACCTAGGACTAAGCCTGATCCGACCATGGCCAACATCCTTCCTTATCCAGACCAAAACATGCATCATCTTCTCCATAGCACAGAGCACCGAGGACCTAGGGTGTTTAGTATTGAGGGTTTTCTCTATCCAAGGGTGTGTCCCCACACAGTTGTGTGGAACCTGGCATGGCGCACGAGGGATTTGGCAGCTCAGGGTTTCGGCGTAGGAGGGGACCTCTTCTGTCGTTGTTAAAATACAGATTCAAGATCCCAAGCCTTAGACCCCTTTATTGCAGGGTATCAGCCTTGAAACAAGACATATAATATGTGAACCCTTATGCACAGAAATCTGGCTCCAAGCACCCTCCTCAGCGGGTTTTTGTTCTATCAAAAAGTGCATCGTCTTTGAGCACACCTTGCCTACTTCGCCAGCGATTGAAGGTCCGCTTTTCCCTAAACCAAAACCCTGATTCAGGGTCAGGGTCTTTTTTGGACCGCGGCTTGTAGGATCCCCAACAAGATCGGAGCTAACTGCAGCTCCCAAACCCCAGTAATCGTGTGAGCCCAACTTACCCAGGGCCTCCAAAACCCTGAATTGAGGAGTATACCTTAAGTCACAATAGGATCCAGTAGGATCCTTAATATGATTTAAGGCATATTCCTTAATTGAGGGGTTTTGGATGCTGTTGGCTCTTGGTAACCAAGAAACCAGAAACCCAATAAGCTATACCCGAACCCCTACTCAACCCTTCTTGACGAAGTCCCTCGACTGGACTCCAGGAGAAGCCTTCTCAAGAATCTGCAGGTAGCTGTAGGCGCTGAAAGCGCAGACGTTGCCGATGACTGCTGCCCAGATGACCTCACTCGGATCCCATAGCCCAGAGAGCCCAATACACCTTAATTAAGGAATATGGCTTAAATTATATAGGGCTTCATATTATGATTTATAGCTATACTCCTTAATTAAGAGGTATTAGGCTTTCTGGGAGTAATGTAGGAACCTGATTATCAAAGGGGAACAGGAGGGACCCTTAATGGGGACCCCTACCCTATAATGGGCTATATAATGGGCTATATAATGGGTATGTAATAGCTATATTAAGGGTATATACCTAGGGGTCCTGAAAACCTGGGCGTATAACCCCCAAACTAGTAGGGCTCATATAAGGAACCCTAGTACAGGCCCCAAGGTTTCTTAATCAGGTTCCTACATTATACCACCACAGATCCTAAAGGGGTTTCCCCACACCCTCAACCCTAAAGTTCCTGAACCCTACCTGAACCCTGAATAACCTACCTTTGTAGGGTTCCTTAGTATGATTTCTCTATATAAGTCCTTAAAAAAGGTAGGTCCTTCAGGGTTAAGGTAAACCCTAAACCACAGATCCTAAAAAGGGCTGGGGGCCTCGGGACCTAAGCTTACAAACATGCGGGCGTAGGCCTTACGGACGAGCGAGCCCTGACGTAAGCTCACACAACGCTGAATCTTAGGCCCTAATATAGGAGCCTTAAAAATCAGAACAGGGTTCCTTTAAAGGGTTCTAGAAAGGGATCCATAATAGAACTCTATAATATAGGAGCCTTAATGATTAGAATAGGGTTTTGGGGCTATATTAAGGCACCCACAGAACATTTTTGGTAATTATTGGCTCCTATATTAGACATTGTGCAGTGATGCAGGGTCTACCAAGGTGTTTAAGGTTGGGGCATGTCATGGACAGAAAGGGTGTGGGATCGGGGCCTTGGACAGTCAGTTCCGGGTCGCATACTGGACTAGTATTTCGCAAATGTCTCCAGGAACCCGGAGAGATAGTCTAGACCTGTGCCGGAAACCCTATTCAGACGTCTTTCTTGGTTGATTGTTGCCTGTAGGTTCGGAGGGAAGCTGTCCGGATGTACTGATACACATATGCTCCTTCAAGGTCTAGGTACGGGACAGGTGTGAAGACAGAATTCCTAAGCCTAAACTTCTGTTTAAACAAGAATCACAACATCCGGGCCACATGCAAGTCGCACTTACGCCCTATACAAGCCCTCCAACTTTCAAGCCCAAGCCGTAAACCCCCATGTTGCACTGGAGCGTTAACCATTGGAACAGGTCTTTGGGGATGTGTGTTAATGTATGTTTATGAACTTGCAACCTTAAAGAATAAGTTCGTAGTCAATATAGGACCTGAGTAATTACAATGACAATAGGGTTCTGGGGTCATACGATCCTAGACTCGGAACCATGAGTTTAAGATCATGACCATCTTAAACACACGTCTTTGTGGGCATCTATGACGGATTCTATATGGGTAGTTGTCAAAAATAAGGTCCCTTTGTGGGCACCCTAAACAGTCGGTGCCGTATTTCACTAGGGACCCAAAAAGGGACCATAATTTTGACAACCACCCATATGGTGTCTATTTCTATGCAGGTGTACGATGTTGGGGTTTTTAGGGCTTCGGTTGGGCGCCTCGATGTAGGGCGACCCGGGCAGAGCATGAACCTGGACATCGGCTTCAGGGACTCCAAGTGAGGGTTTTGATGCAGGGGATTTGGGTTGAGGGTGCAGCGCTCTAGGATTTTAGAAGGATGGGGAGGGCTTTGTGCACATGTTTTTTGTGTTTACTTTTTTACAAAATTATGCAAGACATTACGCGGGATACTTACCATCAAGAAGTCCACTTCTTAGGGTGGTTGCTCAGGGACTTCAGGCGTAATTATGTAGATCACCTGGGACAACTGACCACAAACTGCCACGTGTCGATCCTTAGTTCAGGAAACTTCAGGGAAGAGCTCGAACCTACAAGCCACCGATCAAACCCTATAACGCACCTATAACAGCACCGTTTCAAAAATATCCTGTATGAAGCCAACGAAACACAGCTGGAAAGCACCTGTCACAAGTTTCTTGCGCACTAAACCACAAAGCCTAACCCCTAATCTCTTTCGTGCCTGAGATTGAAGCCGGGATCGGGGGGAGTTTAGAGCTGAGTGCTCTTTCAGGGACGCATCAAATGGCGCCCCGGTGTCAAGTTTACATTACGGTCCCATTGCTGGCCTCGTCTGTCCCTTATGAGACCGCTTAGATTCAGAAGCTCCGTTGATGCCTGCAGGAAGGGCAGTATCAGCGTCAGGAACACCAGCGCTGCCTGGAACATGCGGGTTCCATCGAGGTTTGTAGGTGAGAGGTGGACTTTATAGCGTATCACATACAGTTCATAGGTCTGCAAGGCCATGCCGGGTGCAAGGCCTTGATATGGTTTTTCGCCACTTTTGTCATGGTATTTGGTCAAGTCTAGCGTGCAGGCCCCAAAAAGCCAACAAGCCGGGGCTAAAACCCTACCTTTCTTTGAGCTACTTGATATGAATTCCCTAGATGAGTCCTTAGGCAGGTAGGTTGTTTGGGGTTCAGGTAGGGAGACGTTGTGGGGCATTCCGCAGCACACCATATTCCAACGAAGCCGTGTAGGCCCCAAACTCATGGCCTTGTTGAAGTTGCCTCCGAAAGCGGTTGCAGACCTGAGGTAACAGGAGAATGCACTTACATTCCTGGTCCTGGGTAGAGACAGTACAGGACCACGGCCATCAGCAATGCGAATTGCGGCTAGGGGCTTACAGCAAGTTCCAATGAACGCCCAGAGTGTCTAAAGCTGGGCTGTCTTAGCCTGCAGGATCAGTTAAAGTGCTGGCCTTTGGCGTCACAAGTCACCAGCCTAAACAATGCCTTGTCATGCAAGGGGCACCGCTGCTGATAGCTGGAGACCTTCTGACACAGAACGGCCGAGCTCCCAGCGGTGAGAGGGTGTGAACGATGCTAAACTGAACGATGTTGTACCTCAGCCGGCGGATTCCTACGCCGGACTTCCAAAACCATCCGAAATGGCATACCCTACAAACCTAACTGAACTCAAGAAAGATTAAAACAACAGTTCTCAATGCCCTTGAACAAACCTAGTGCTACAGTACTAAGGATAGTTTTGTGGGAAAATAGAACCACGTAAATTTAGAACACGCTGAATAACTTACGGGACCTACTCTGGGAAAGAGACGCTGAATAGTATTGTCCGTACTATGAGGAGCCCGAAGTGGGGACCCCCAATCTTGAACTCTAAACCCTAACTCCTCATCCCCAAATTGGATGTTCATGGGTAGTTATAAGTAGGGTTAGAAGTAGGACAACTGAAGGTATAACCTGTATTCGGAGACTTCTAACTCCACTCATAGCTTTAACCGTGAACCTCCAAGTGAACCCTATAGCCCAAACCTTCTTAGGTCCCAAACCCTCGTCGCCAACCTTTAAACCCTGAATGGTTTAGGGTTTAGGGTTTAGGGTTTCCATAATTCCCTAAACCCTGAATGGAGCCCAAAGGGGGACCCCCTATCAATCTGAGGCCAGGACATGAAAGAGAACCTGAGTTCGCAAGCCCAGGCGTTCGGCTTAAGGGTTCGGGCTTTCGCTATGCTTTTGTTCAAGGGCTCAATTCGGCTTGAGGGTTTCGGGTTTACGTTTTCGGGTTTAGGGTTTGAAGGTTGGGTGGGCTCGTAACGGGCTTGTAAGTTGAGCCTGAATACCCGACAGGGCATTGGTTCCCTTATAGCAAACTTCAAAGTACTCGTATGGATGCCTTCACGTCGGCAGTGGTTCCTACGACTTGGGGTTTAGAGTATTCGAAGGATCGTGGGGTTATAGGCTTTAGGGGTTGAGGGTTTAGGGTTTAGAGTTATACAGTACCCCTACTTGGTGTTGTAAGTTCTTATAAGTACTAGTTGCCTTAATTATAACCCTACTTACTAAGTGCCCAGTAAGCGCTACAGGAAATGCCAAAATCCTGAAGGTTCCTCAGGAACGAACCTGGAGATACAGCCCATTGTTCGCTTCTTGAGGGTTTAAACAGTGACTTTGTTTTGAGTATAAGGCGAGGTGAGGTGAAAGAACTAGAGTTACAGTGAGATGTATTTACAGCCCAAGAATGTAAGATCACAAATAAATGCCATGCCCATCCAAACTTGCAAAACCGAGGATGTCAAGACGTAAACCCAACCGTAACCTACCAAACCGTACTGTTTTGTAGGTTCTTATTATGAAACGTACTCTGGAGCTCATAGGGACCTTACAAAAAAGTAGGGTTTGGTAGGTTAAAGCACTGCAAAGTCTCAGATCCCAAACCCTGAATCCCGAACCCTCACAGGGTAAATCCCCAATCACCCACACCATAAACCCCTCAATACCCAAACACCCCCAAATCCCAAACCCACAACTCCTAAACCCTATAAACTCTAAACCCCTGCACCACGTGGCACAAACCATAAGTTAAAACATCGAAAACCACCAACCCTTTAACCGCCCAGTGCAGGGAGGTGACACCCCAGAGAGCGCGAAGAGCCCGAAAGTCTTGGGCGCAATCACCGCCACCTATAGGTTAGGATCCTTTAAATGAGGCATCGCAGCAAAGGAGCTGCAATGGAGAGTATAGATGTACTTTATTTGTTGGCCAGAGTTTAGGGTTCAGGGTTTAGCATCGTGCTTAGAACCGTCTAGGGCTCTGGGATCTAGGCTGCAGGCATCCATAGAGCTTAGGGCCTGGGGGCGCCTTGAGCTTTTCAAGTTGAGCCATACATGCGTGATGATTTGGAAAGCAAAACTAACCTGCACATCCTGCACCTAACTGTTTAGGGCTCCATGTTACAAGGATTTCCTTAAACCGGTCCGAAAGAGGTAGGTTGATGTAGGAACCTGGTTAAGAAACCTTGGGCCTTTATAAGGGTTCTTTATATGAATCCTAGTATTTTGGGGTTATTTCTTAATCAGGTTCCTACACTGGTCGGGTTGAGGCAGATCTCGGTCAAGCCCCTTCGGGTCCCAAGCGTCGTACTATAAAGAACAAGGTGGTTGAGGTTGAGGGTTTCGAGAGAGCCCAATACCCCTTAATTTTGGAATTTGGCTTAAATCATCAAACGAAGCCCTATATAATTTAAGCCATATTCCTTAATTAAGGGGTATTGGGCTCTCTGGGTAGGCCCATAAAACACTGGTGTAGTACCTGTCTTCAAAGCTTGCCACGCTAACGCAACCTTCCTCTGGGCCAATAAAATTCGTCAATACGCTGTCGACATCCGCATCCCTGAACCAGAACAGCTAAACCCCAAAACCCTCAAGCCCTGAAGCCCCGACGCGTTCAATCCTTGTGCCGGGGAATCCGTGAGCCCCGATCTAATCCAGCCCCAGCCATCACCTGCCGCAGGATTTGCCAGTCAGTGGCATGGTCGACGCCAAAGACCTGCTGGAGGACTCTTACCCCCCAAAAAAAAGCCACTGAAATGAAAGGTTAAACTTTTCGATTCCTACTAAACTGTAAGAACCAAAAACGTTTAAAGGTTGGGTATTGGGGATCTAAGCTCTGTTCTGGGTGTGGAGCTTCAGGGTTCCTCGGGTCTGTGAAGTGGCTTACGGCTTGTCACAGTCTCCCGGCGCCATGGGGTTTCGTAACAGGTTCGAAAAATCTGGTCACAACATGATACTCGACAGTTGCGCGAGAAAGTTGACGGCTTGGGTACCACCGTTCGAACACACATGGGTGGTTGTCAAAATTATGGTCCCTTTTGGGGTACCCTCAATATTAGGTGCCGTACTATAATAGGGACCCCAAAAGGGACCATAATTTTGACAACAACCCACCTGATGCACTTATTCAAACCTTCGGGTATGCAACTTCAGACGACTGAGTGTAACTTTAACTGCTACCTTTTTAGCACAGCAGGAACCTAAGGACGAAAACCTGAACACATTAAACCCTATAACCCTCAGGCCCCCCAAACCCTAAACACCTAACCTAAGGGTGAAAGCCTGAACACAAGTGACACTAGACACGGATACAGGACGCCGAAACACGACACCCTCGTCTCCCTGATTAGGGTTTAGGGTTTAGGTATCCGGAATCTTCCAAACCTGGACCCCTAACCCCTGAACCCCTGAAAACCCGAAACCCTATCTTTAGTCCTAAACCGTCCTGCCTGCGGCCACTCCCCTGGAACCGGCTTGTCCAGGAACCTAGCGGACAGGCTTGAGTAGATCCGGGCTGAGCTGAAGACTAAACTAGGGCCCGAGAAAAGCACATAAGCAAAAATCAGGATAGGGATATCCCATATAAACCCCCTTATAATGAAGCCCAACAGGGTAGGGATATCCCTATGAAATGCTTATGTGTGTGTGTCCTTTTTGGGTCCCTTATAAACGGCTATAGTGGGGTCTGAGAGTATAGCAATCAACGCATCAATACTTCTATTCCCAAAGGCTCCATGTACCTTTATAGTAGATACTTAAGCCTTAAAGAGGTCCCTATATAGGCACTTTAAGGCCTAAGTACCTACTAAATCGGTACATGGAGCCTTAGGGATTAAAGTTCAAGATGCCAACATCCATACTGCAAAGGACGAAGACCTCCCAGACCAGGCTCCTGTTGTCTGCAACACTATACCCCACTTAGAACCATAATAAAAATAATCGTTAATATTCTCTTGGGTTTTATGTGAACAAAAAATAAAACATAATTCCTAAGGAGACCAAGCGTCTAGCAGCTTGGTTTTTCCTAGCATGGCCCGGGTCCAGCAGTATCGACGACATGCGCTACAGTGCCTCCCTACTTAGAACAGATTTTCGTGGTATCATACAGAAGAAACAGGGATGCACTGTATAAGGCTATAACGGCATATGGCGACTAGTTGTTCAAACTTGTCAGCCTGAAGATGATAGAGACCACCCCCGAACCCCACACATACATTATCCAGCATCCATGCAAGCCTGCATAAGATGTCTGGTAACATGTTCTTAACACCCTTCGACCCCCACTTTCCACCCTATCATCTCGAAGCTTTTGAGGACACGCCCTGCGCATGGCGAAAAAGAAGGTATCCCAAACCCTAAACCCTTGAGGACAAGCCCCTAAAGACAAGCTCCGCGCATGGCGAAGGGAAGTAGGAAAGGAAAGGTACCCCAAACCCTAAACCAAAATCCCTAAATCCTAAGCCCTTGAGAATAAGCCCCTGAAGACAAGCCCCGCGCATGGCGAAGGGAAGTAGGAAAAGGAAGGCCGGGATGGACATGTAGGCCACAGTGTCGTAGACCTCGGCACACTAGGTTTAGGTGAAAGGGGGGTTTAGGGGTTTAAGGTTTAGGGGTTTAGGGGTTTAGGGTTTAGGATTTTAAGGGTTTAGGGTTTAGGGTGTAGAGCCTTAAAGTAAAAGCCCAAAGGTTGGAAACCCCATAGCCTCAATCCTTAAGAGTAATGTATAGGGAATCCCAGCACTATTTGGCCTCAATCCGGTTTCCAACTTTATGGGGATCACTGTAGGTTTAGTAGACCTTAAACTTCAACTTGTCGCGTATCCTGGGGAACGAAAGTTAAGCTTTCGGAGTATTTTTATTGGGACAATATAGGGATTATAGTACCCAAAAAAGTTAAAGGATGCCTACTCTACTACCAGCAACTGCTCATTACCAAAGGCATCCTTCTACTTCGGATTGAATTTAGGTTGCGGCTTTAGCGGAACCGTAAGCCCGAAACCCCTAAGGCGTGCCAAATTAAGGCTCAGGGTTTAGGGCTTGGGGTTTAGGGTTTGGGGATGTTTAGGGAGTGGAGTGGAGGGACGACCGAGACCCGAAGGCCTGGCCTGTTAGATAGCAGTGGCATCACCTCCGGCCCGAAGGCTTAAGGATCAAACCACAAAGAAAACCCTGAAAAAACCATAGGGTCTTAGGGCAGGCGAACCGGGTGGCCAACCGCGCGCCCCAGCACAAACCGGATCCATCCCGACTCGAGTCTCCATCAGCTCATTGCAGCTCGCGTAACCGTGCACTCCAGGCACGAATCGGGATCCATCCCGACAGAGCTTCCATCAGCTCATTGTCACTTGCGTAACCGCGCACTCCAGGCGCGAACCGGATCCATCCCGCCAGGGCTATCAGCTCATTGCCGATTGCGTAACCGCGCACACCAGGCGCGAACCGGGATCCATCCCGACAGAGCTTCCATCAGCTCATTGTCACTTGCGTAACCGCGCACTCCAGGCGCGAACCGGATCCATCCCGCCAGGGCTATCAGCTCATTGCCGATTGCGTAACCGCGCACACCAGGCGAGAACCGGGATCCATCCCGACAGAGCTTCCATCAGCTCATAGAGCACTCCAGGCGAGAACCGCGATCAAGCCGAACTGCTGTACCATCGACACTTGCGTAACCGCTCACTCCCCGCGTGAAACAGGTCCACTGGTAGCTGTTCCATCAGATCATGTCAAGTGTAGAAGCGCGATCACCAGGTTCGAACCGGGAACCCTCCCACAAGAAACACGTCAGCCTCCAGCCGCAAAGAGACCCAAAATGCCGGCACTGTCGCCCTACTGTGACCCCCACGCCTGCTTGCTGGGTGCTCTTCGGCCTGGAAACAATCCTAGGCCTTAGTGCCGCCCCTGGGGTCCCAGCAAGCACGCCGGCGAAAGGGTTAACAACCACAGCAGGCCCAGGGGGGGATGTTTAGGGGTTTAGATTAGGGTTAAGGATGTAAGGCATCGGAGTATATTTTGGATAGTAACGAAAGAAGGGTGCATACCTACGCGAGCAGATGTTTACTGCTACTACTACTACCACTACTACTACTACTACTACTACTACTACTACTACTACTACTACTACTACTACTACTACTACTACTACTACTACTACTACTTCATACCGTTTTGGGAGGCCTTGTAATATGGTAAGAAAACAATCGCGGCCTCGACGCCCGATGCAAACCCTGACACTCTAACTATGAGCTTCGAAATTGAAAGCCTGGTTCAGGTTTATTATAGGAACCTGATTAAGAAACGTTGGGTCTTAATTGGGGTTCCTTACATCCTAACATGTTGGGGTTATATGGCCAGGGTTTCTTATTCAGGTTCGTACATTGAGGATTTAAATGTCTAGGGTTTGGGGTTCAGTGTTTAGGGAATGCTCCCATCGTAACGGAAGCCCAGGGCTTGAAGCAAACACCAAAAGCACACAAACAATGACTTTGACGTAGTTGTGTAAGCCTTAGGGCCTTCAGGTTTCAGGAGTCCGTCAGGCAGAAACTGGTGCTGTGCTGAGTAGGTCTAGCTTGAAGAGTGCAAGGGGCATTGAGCTTCATCTCGCCCAGAACGCCTGGATGGCAAACGAGGCTGCGCACCGGTTGAAAACACCGCCACACCCACTGCCCATCCGGGTCGGTGTTCTTTTTAATGGCCTCTTGGTTTAGGGTTCAACGCTGGCTTGGGCTTGAGGCTTACGGCTTGGAGCTTAAGGTTGGCAGTTTAAGGTTCGGAGTTTCTCGACACCCACTCGCGCTCGCTCGCCCAACGACACTTCCTCCAAACCTCACACTCTGCACCATAAACACCTCCGAACGCATAAAAGTCCTAACCTCCAGAACCCACAAACCTGCAGAGCCACTTCAAGCAATCTAGGGTCTTTTACGGTGCAAGCTCGAGATAGCTCGAGTATACAACCTGACAGGAAAGCTCCTACAGCCCAGCTGAACCCTAGACCCTGGCGGGGTTTTTTTCTAGACCCTAAACCCTAAAACCCTAAACCCTAAACTTTAAACCCTAAACCCTACCTAAGCCCTGAACTCTGCTCTTAATACTAATATTGGTACTAATACTAATACCTCCACAGCTCAGGTCAGACAAGAGAAAAGGGAAATCCGAACCCAGCCGGCAAGAAACTCTTCAGCTTGAAACCAGTTTCTAGGATGCAAAGTAACCTAGGAAGAAAAAGCGATCCCTTCTTGGTATTGGGTAGCTTTATAGGGAGCCTAGGACGACAAAAAGGGAATAAGGGTACTACTGGGCATCCTAGGGTTAAGGTTTAGGGAACCTCAAAGTGCTGAGTGTTTCTGGCTTAGATCCTTGGGTCGTCCCCGGTCTGCTCTTTGCGCTACAACCGCGAAACCCAATTCCTGAGTGACTCAGAAGCAACCCCTCTGACTCCGGGTATGCAACTACCCAGAAGCCCCATAGTAGTTCCTTTTGGGATTACTTCATAAGGTTCTAAATATGAACCCCAAAAGGAACCACTTTGGGGCCTTAGGATAGTACCTACATTGGGGTCTAAAGACTATAAATAATACCTACTTTGAGCTACTCAGAAGCTACGGGCACTGGCACCTGCAAGAGCAAGGTTCAGGGAGCCGCAAAGCAAGGACAGCACGCAGATGATCACCTAGGCAGGCTCTAGGGGGCTTCTTCCAAGTGGTTCTACGCCTACTCTTAGGGGGTTTACATGGGTTCTGCACAGACTCTGAAGGAATTGCTGTACATTTCATGAAGGCTTGTCTATACAATATGGGTTCCATTAAGGGTGGCCGCGGAGATTGCAGGAACTAAGTTCCCCAAACCCGGAAACAAACCTGAAAAGTTACAGTAGGGCCAGGCTTCTGGGGCTCAGAGTTCACACGTTAGTGACTGTAGTGTTAAGACATTCAAACCTTTGACTTCTGGGATATGCTAAGAAGATAAAAAAAACAAAACTAAAGCGATAAAAAAACACAAAAAGAAAGCAAACCACATAAACCAGGCCAGAAGCCAGAATAACAAAAAAAACACAAAAAAAAAACAAACATAAAGCAAAAAACAAACAACCAGACGCCCGTCCAGGCGCCCGTTCCTGAGGCTCGTTGCTTGTTGCTTTTTGTTCGCTTTTTTTGCTTCTTTCCAAGGAAAAAGCTGAAAACAAAAACAAAAAAACAAAAGCAACCACAAAAAACAAAATCAACAAAAACAAAAACAAAACAACATAAAAAACAAAAAAACAACAAAATTAAAACAAAAAGCAAAGCAGAAACCTCCCATGCCCACCTGTCATGTTTATTTTGTGTTTTTGTTTTTGTTTCTGTAGTTTTTGTTTGGCTTGTGTTTTTTTTGTTAATATTTTCCTTGATTTCCAGAGGCTACAGTGTTTTGAATGTCTTAACTGTAGTGGTTTAGGGTTTAGGTTTGGGGTTTGTTGAGGGTTCACACTTTAGTTGTTTAGGGTTTAGTATTCTCGGTTTGGGTTTTAGGGTTTGGGGTTTAAGGGTGATAGGCTTTAGTTCAGGGCTTAGTATCTTCGGTTTAGGGTTTGTTGAGCTATGACGACGGACCTTTTTCTCGGATTAGGGTTTAGGATTTTGCGCTTCGGGCTTATATGCTTTAGTGTTTAGGGTTTTCGGATTAGGGTTTTGGGGTTTTGTTGGGGGTTAAGGCTCTTGTGGCGGTGGAGGGCTTAAGGGTTTACTTGTAGTCTCCGCTGTAGTTCCACATTTACCATGTTTGGTGTTCCACATTTACCATGTTTGGTGTCATCATCAAGGATCCTGTGTATAAACTTGCATCCGAAAAAGGGAACTACAAACGAGACTAAGAGTAGGGCGATACACAGGATTTTATGAGTCTTCGGACTTCGCGTTTAAGGGTTTAGGGCTTAATGGGGGGTTCGGGTTTAGGGGTTTAGCGGTGAGGGTTTAGGCTGAGGGTTTTCAGATTATGTTTTTGGAGCAGGCAAAAGCCTTCAGGATCGCTTTCGGGACCGTGCGACCACATGGCTCGTCCCCGCTAGCCAGCAGATAATCAGTCAGCAAGGTCGGCTGCTCGCAGGAGCGTGCTTGACATCCGCAGTCTCTCGAAGCGAGAATCTGAAACTCTGGGCCTTCAGCCAAAACCTTCTCCCTTCTGATGTTCAGGGCTGGAGCCCTGTACCCTAAAACCTAAGTGACCCAACCCTTCCCAGCTCTACCAAGACCCGGGGTGCCCAGCACGCCTCATCTTTGTAATATACAAGACATACAACTACTAGCCAGTCAAGCTTCAATGCTGACTAGAGTAAAAACGTAATTGTAGAACCCCATGACCCAATGAACCCTAAACCCCAAACCCTGAACCAAACCATAATGTTCAAGGGTACAAATACAGTACTACTCCTCCAACACCCTACCTAAAGCAATTTAAGGACCTGTGAGCACTAAACTCCGACCTCTTGCAGGCTGAGATGCACCAAGGATCATGTTGCTGCTTGAACTCCCGTGCGACCCTGCACCTCGATGCTTGTGCTTCAACAAAGACAATGATTTTTGCGGTTTAGGGTTTAGGGTTCAGGGTTCTGGGTTTGGGGTTTAGGGTTTAGGGTTTTGGGTTTAGGGTTTAGGGTTTAGGGTTTAGGGTTTAGAACCAGCGACAATGCTAATAACACCCAAACTGACAACAACAATAGCTATAAGAACAACTATCATAAACCAAGTACCCATAACAATAAAAAGAAGAATGCTAGCAGTAATAATGACAATGATGATACGAATACCAACAACAGAAGTAAGACTCACACCTACTGGAGATTCATAATAACACTGATGCTACCAACCTTACTAGCAACAACACGACCAATACTAATAATAACAACAAGAATAATAGTAGTAATTCTTATAGTACTATGCAAACGCAGCAACAACAATGGATACAATAATGATAGCACTAATAACAGCGGTGGAAATCATGAGATAAAACACAATATCAATTGAACACTTTACGCGTGTATACATATATATATATATACACACTTATGTATACATACATACTTACATAAATATACACATACATATATACAGAGAGAAAGCGAGAGAGAGATAGCGAGATAGCGAGAGGTGGAGGAAGAAGGAAGAGAGAGAGAGAGAGAGAGAGAGAGAGAGAGAAAGAGAGACTCAATACCTGAAGCTGCAGCAGAGACAGGGCCAACTCCACAGCGAGGGATGAATAAGATTTGAGGAGGAGTCCTTGGTCAGTTCAGAAATTGGGGACCTGTGGGTACTTCATGAAGCCAGAACCCAAATTAAACCAAAACCCCCCAAAACCCCAAAGCCTAAACTCTGAACCCCAACTCTTAAACCCTAAACCCGTAAACCCAGACCCCTGACCCCTGAACGCCTAAACCTTAAAACCCCGAGGCGCGCACCCATAATCTTGGCCATGGTGAAAATGCAGGCGCAGAAGACGCCCAAGGTCATCAGGAAAATCCTGAGAATCAACTCTAGCGTTTCTTGCGGTCCGGCGCGGCGAAGGGCAGCTAGAGCCCAGGGCAGTATAGAAAAAATGCTAAAACGGCTGTGGGCTACAGGATTTTGGGATAGTCAAGGGAACCTCGGCACGCCAAAGTGCACGTGAGGCGGTAGATGATGCGACGCTTCATTCTTGTTGCGCGTCCCACTGAGCCCTCAACACAAAAACCCACCTAAATCCTAAACCCTAAATCCCAGAGTCTAAACCTTAAACTCAAAGACCCTGTCGCATGGCCATCGCCAGACGACGTTGAAGCTGAATCAACACTTCCTAGGAAGCGGCAGGAGAATACACCGCTCAACTCTGTGTATGTCGTTACATATACACATATGTACATACATATATACATGTGTGTATATTTATTTATATATATACACATCCTCATACGTTTGCACGTACATACACTGTACATATGTGATATGTGGATTTTACCCCTAGCTCTGCGGTCTAAACCAGAACCTACACCCGACACCCTAAGCCCTGAAGACCAGAATTCGTCCAAGCATCTCGCAGAATTTCCATGGCTTGAGCGGGTAGAGCCCGAACATGGCTAGCCTCTCAGGAAAGATTACGGTGGGTTCTAGGGTTCAGTGTTTAGCTGTTAGGATTTAAGCTTTGGGCTTGAGGGTTTGAGGTTTCTGGTTCAGGGTCTAAGGTTTGTTTTGTGCGTGGTAGGGTTTGGGGTTTCGTAAGTTAAGACACTGAGCCGGGAAAACAAAACCAAAACTCTAAACTTTTGGGTCTCCAGTTTAGTAAGCTAAACTCAAATTGCCGGAAAGTGTAACCTGTCCATATCGCCACATGCCCATTGCCCATTCAATTTCAGCTTGGGTTAAGGTCTTCAGGGCTTTAGGCTTTAGTGTTTGGGGCTTGGCATGTAGCGTTGTATGTCTCCTCCAATTGACTTGTAGGAAAGGACAAGATAGGCCAAGTTATGGGCAGGTGTAGTTTGAGTCACACACGCAAGTTTACTTCAACAGTTCGGCGTTTAGGGAACAAAGGTCGAGGGGCTCAAGCTCAAGAACACCCCTTAAGACCCTAAACCCTAAACCCTCAAACCCCCAAAAACCCTTAAACACTAAACCCCTAAACACTAAAAGCCCCTGAACCCTGAACCCGTAAAACCTTAATACCCTGAGACCTAAACGCTATGAAGTAGGCCATGAGAACACTTCGGAGGTGGAATCGTCTCTCTGCTCAGAGGTCGTAGGGTTATTCATGACTTCATGGATGCCGACGTGTTCCTCCTCGGTTTAGGGGTTAGGGGTTCAGGGTTGATCGCATCAACTTGTTACTAGGGCTCCGGAGTCCGGAACAGAACAGAACGGAACATCATGTTTCAAAGGGGAAAGGAGGGACCCTTATTGGGAACCCCTACCCTATAATGGGCTATACAATGGGTATATAGTAGATAAATTAAGGGTATATACCTAGGGGTCCTTATTAAGGGTCCCTCCTTTTACCCTTGGAATGTTGTATATCTACGCCGCATTAAAAGCATACAACTACATCTGAGACTGCAGGTACCGTACCCGAAGCCTAGACCACAAAAACCTTTACCCTAAGCCCTACCTTAACCCCATACAAAACTACATTTAAGGTCTGCTATGGTCTGCTTAGTGATATGACTTCCTTATGCAGGTCCATACAAAGCCTGGCCCTTTCACCCCCAAACCCAGGCAGTTGCAGACAAACGGCCCCTGCTGGGACAGGAAGGTCGTCAGAGGCAGGCAGGATCGGATGATCAGGTTCACTGCAATGCTGATGTACCTGTCTACTCACTTCATCCGAAACCCCGAAGCCTAATTAAACGGCCTAAACCCCCTAAGCCGAAAACCCTAAACTTAAGACCCGAATCCCAAATCGTACCCTAAACCCTAAACCCTTAAGACCCGAATCCCAAAGCGTACCTAAAACCGAAATCCTAAATGCGCTGAAACCCCCACACCCAAAGCTGCAGACGGGCGGACGGAAGGTTTAGGATTTAGGGAAAGAAAGCAGGTGTTGCGGGGCTCGGGGCAACCCTACGGCGTAAACCCAGAAGCCCAGAAAAAACAACGTGTTTAGCCCGAGTGTAATATAGGGGCCTGAAAAATTTCGAATAGGGTTTTGGGGCCCATTATGCTATAAGTCTACCAAAACACGCTCAAATAGTATTGGTAATAATTCTAAGCCCCTTACAGCAAGCCATCCTTTCAGCTGTGAGCCCTGGGGAAAGAGTAAGGCCCCGGCCCCAAACTGAAGTTGTTCAGCGCGATGTTCAAGGCGAAGACGCTGCCTAAGATCTGGGTTTAGGGTTTAGGGCTCTGGTATCTTACTCCCCCAAAAGGCCACTGAAGTGAAACTTTCCGATTCCTCCTAAACTATAAGAACAGAAAAAGTTTAAAGGTTGGGTATTGGGGATCTAAGGTATGCTGGCATGTTTGGAGGCAAACATCCATCGTCTTGCATCCTGAACACTCTCCCCACCAAAAAAACAAACTACGACCTTGGAACATGCTTAGATTCATCAACCTCATCCCAGAAATCCTTGACCCCAGGACCAGACAGCAGCCTGAGAAGACTAGAAAGGGGCTTGCCGCCTTAGGGTAGGCATGGATGTAGGGTTTAGGGTTTAGTAGTTTAGTGCTGGGGGTTTATGCAGCTTATGCATTCACTTGGTCCATGTACTGCCCTCCAAGAGTCTGCAAGGCTATGCTAGCTGGCATCATGCTTACAACGACCCTTAGTATGACACCGTGTGCTAACATCAATATATCTACGGTATCAATGTTTGGGCAATTATCTCTGTCGTTCTTCCATGGAACCTAAAACTCCAACCCCTAAGCCCTAAACTCTAAATCCTAAACCCCAACCCCTAAACCCTAAACACTAAAACCCTAAACCCTAAACCCCAAACCCTAAACCCCCAACCCTAAACCCCAAAGCCCAAACCCTAAACCCTAAATACCTATACGCTTAACCCTCAGAAATCTCTTTGGGGCAACATCACTCCAAAATCTAAAAAGACTAGGATGCCCAGTAACCTAGGAATAAAAAGGGCTCCCTTTTTGGTATTGGGTAACTTTATCTTGAATCTAGGACTACAAAAAGGGAATAAGGGCATTTTTGGGCATCCTAGAAGAGGATCTTCAAAGCGCTTGGACAAGATGCTAAGATGGAGAAGTCGCAGCCCCTAAACATGGGAGTTTAACTCCGAAAACATCGGAACTTGCAGTGACAATCCTTACGAGGCAGGGTGGGCCACTCCTTCGTTGACAAGTTCTGCGTGTATTATTTCATTCTCCGGATGTATTTTATAAAATTTCTGGGAATCCCAATACCAGTCTTCCTTGATACGGTTTGGGATTTACCGGGTGTCGAGCTAAAAAGTGCATGATCCCATGAACGTGTCATATCTACTAGGCGAAGGTCGAGACCTCCCTTGAAGCATTGTTCAGCTTGACGAGCGGCCGAAGATACAGACGGAGATGATGGACCAGCACTCCTTCTTCGTGATGTTCCTTTCCGCAGGCTCTAAAGCTGGGATCAAGGTTGGTGGAGAAGAGTCCTTCGGTTGATGATAAAAATCCTGCATTACCCATAATAAGGAATATACCATAATTCCCATAGTTTAGGGTCCTTAAGGTATTGCAGGCTTTATACGTATGGTCAAGATTACAAAGGGAGTCATGACTTCTACCGACATTGCTCCCACTTTCGGGGTCCTTGATTCTTCTAAGCCGATTTCCCTTCCCAGAACGCCCCAGAAAGATCTGGGTGGTGTCAAAATAGGGGTCCCTTTTTGGGCACCCTAAATGATAGGTGCCGTCTTGTAATAGGGATCCAAAAAAGGGACCATCATTTTGAGAACCACCCATCTGGTCAGTAGCGCCCATCCCACAACACGGACCCCAAAGCCTGCAAGCCCCGCCCCAAGGCCAAACCACCGACCCAGAACCCTAAACTTCAAAAACCTGGATCCTCAAAAAGACCTCCACCACTACTTAAAGGATCATGGGACTTAGTAAGCATGGTTAGTAGTACCTTAACTGGGGTTACAAGTAATTATACGCCAGTTACTAAGTCCCATGATCCTTTAAGTAGACCCTAAACCCTGAATCCTTATAGTACCCCTATAGATTCCCTTAAAGGGACCCCTTAAGGACCTCAAGTACCTGTCTTGGTTTAGGACTTAGGGAGCGCTCATCCTGAAAGCCCTACTGCTGATGATATAAAACCTGCATTGCATGACCTTAACTAACCAGTGGTTTTGGGGTTCCCTGGGCTCTTTAGCTCCTTATTCAATAGGGATTATCATCATCCCTGGCTCCTTAGCTCCTCCGATATCAAAGGTTGGTTAAGGACCCTAGACTATGGGAATTATGGCATATTCCTTGTTATGGGTAATGCAGGATTTATACCATCAGCCGTAACATCCCTCAACCTTGGCAGAACCCGTACAGAAGTCACCCTTCTAAACTTCTAAACCACCTACAAAGCCTTGCAAAGCCACTTGTAGGACCAAGGCGCCCAAAGTCTTCAATCAGCACCTTAGGCTCGATCCTGCGCAAGGTAGCTTTCAGGTTGAGGGTTGTGGGTTAGAAGCTGCCCCCACCCTGTAATAGTGACCATAAGGATTATATAGGATTATATTAAGGCCCTATTATACTCCTATTATACCACTATTACAGGGTGGGGGCAGTTCCTAAGTTGTGGGCTTTAGGAGGGTTTTACGGATCAGGCCTTCAAGTTCTAAGATTTCGGGAACTGAGGGGCTGAGTACCCCAATACTCATAATACTACTACTACTACTAATAATAATAATAACAATAAGAATAATAATAATAATAATAGTAATAGTAATAATAGTAATAGTAATAGTAATAATAACAATAATAAAAATAAGAATACTGATAATAATACTACAGGACCCCGGCCAACCCAACACGTGGTTCTCAGAGCCAGGGCGCCGAGAACGCCCTCCCTCCCCAAAATCCTCTGATAAGGTACGCCTTTTCAATTACGGTAGGACTATATATATATATATATATATACACACATACCCTAAAAAGGTTAAAGCGCGGCTGCTCAACTACTATAAAGGACACTAATGCTTTCTGGGTTTAGGGTTTCGGGGTTTCAGGTTCTGGGGTTCAGGGACCCTTGGACAAATCGGTAAAGTGGAGCATGCAAGGCTCCGTCATTTCCTCAACCCGGTCGCGAAGCACTTTGTGGACCATGCCCGTGCGGGGCATCACCTTATTCTAATTAGTAAAGCCCCTATACTACGGCCTGAGCCTTAGCGCTTGGGCACTTGAGAGGCCGACCGGGAAAGCCCCAAACCCAGCACCCCCAACCCAGCATCGCCCTCAACAGCTGAGCCCAAAATCCCCAAAGCGCTGAACCCAGAACCTCCTCCAAACAAACTAATATTGAAGACACCGTAATTCAGGGTTACGGTTTAGACCTATACGGTTTACAATGATGCTACGTGAAGTTCAATCAAGCTCTTTGACAAGAACCCCAACTTGAAATCGTGCGTCCGAATCTCAGACACCCGAACGGAACCCGGCCTGTAAGGCGTGTAGTACCTGGGACGATGGTCTGGAATAAGGGGTTACTAAGAAACCCAATGGCCCAACACCCTTGAATTGAACTTGGGAAGAAACTGTAAGCTGTTCCGGGTCGCCGCTTGCGACTTCAAGTCAAAGAACATTCCGGAATGGATGGGTATTCGGTTGCAGCATTGCTTCGGGTTGTAGAGTTCAGAAGGTTTAATGTTTGGGTCCCTTGCACCTTGAAGCGGGTACTCCCCGCAAGCGGCACTGGGGTCACGGATTCGGTGGGGGCGATGTAAGATTCAGGTGTAACGGTGCTCGTGGTGGGGTTCAGGAAGTCTGCAAAAGCTTTGCGTGGACCAAGCCCTAAACCCTAAACCCTAGCACCTGAACCCCTAGAGCTCTGCAAACAAGACCTTGCCCAACTCTCGTTTTGCAAGGAAAAGATGTTCGTGTCCCAGAAAGTGGGAACCAACACCCAAGCCCAAATCCCTACAAATTCACGCCCGGCAACCAAAACCGTGCAAAAGTCCCATGAAACGGTGTAGAACCCTTTTCGGTTTTGCTGAGTACCCTAGCCCAAACAAGTTAACCTTTTCAACTATGGTAGGATCATGCATAAACCTCAAAAGGTTAAAGGCTACCTACGCAGCTACTCAGCTATATTTCAAGCATCTAACACATCATAAAACGCTGTAAAACCCTTTTCCAAAGTCTTAGGGTTTATAGGGTTCAGGATTAAGATCAAACGTAAGCTGAAGTCCATGAGCCGGGATCTTCCGTCTCTGCGAGGTCCTTCGGTTGATGATATAAATCCTGCATTACCTTGAGGGCCCGAGACTATGGGAATTATGGTATATTCCCTATATTACCCATAAAAAGGAATATACCAAACTTCCCATAGTCTAGGGTCCTTAAGGTAATGCAGGATTTATATCATCAACCGTATTATATGGTATTATGGTATATTCCCTATTATGGGTGATGCAGGATTTATATCTTCAACCGTTCCCAGTTTTCTCTGCAGCCAAGCCGCAGTGCAAAGTACCTCAGTAAGGACTTGGTAGCAGGGTTGAGGGACCAGGGGTTGGGGATTGGGGAATCTACGGGTTTAGAGCTCAGTATAGCTTAGTTGCTGAGTTCATAAGCCCCAAAAAGTACACACTTTCAGTTTTATGGTGGTAATATTATATATCCTTAAAAAGTGAAAAATGTATCCACTTAGCTACTAAGTAGGGTTTAGGGTTTGGGGGTTAGGAAGTGGGATTTGGGGTTTTGGGTTGAGGGAAATGTTCCGTGCTTTGACTTGGAGCCTTACAGTTTGGGCTCAGGCTTAGCTGAGAGCACCTCCCTAAATTGTGGCGGAATCCTCCGCATGAGAACCCCTAAACCCTAAACCCTAAACTCTAAACCCTATAAACCCTAAACCTTGTAACCAAGGAGTGTCGGAGTTTCTTTAGGGTTTCGGGCCTGCACGGTCGGGGTTTAGTCAACAGGTGGGACTGCTACCAGTCTTACACGGACATTCCCAATGACAAGAACTCGACACACTTGCAGTGATGCACGAAATTCTGATCAAAAAACTTATCACGTTCAACAAATATAATCTTAAACGCAAACCCTAAACCCAGATGACAATCTCAACCCTCTTGCGACTCTGCAGCTGAAACACCGTGTAGGACTGAGTTCGGAGTTGGTGCTGATTAAACTCCGCGAGCAAATACATCAGTACTGCATGAAGGCGTGTTGAAGCGGCCTGGACATACTCCATCAAGGAAACCTCGGGAAGTTACGGCTTACCTGAACCTTAAAGCACCAAACCTGACACCACGGCAATACAGACGGCCGATGAAGAAACCCCCTTTATTTCAACGCGGGCCCTACACTGGGATACCTATCCACAAATTTCTACCAAGGGTGAAAACAGTGTAACTAATCAGGGTATGGCTACAGAGCTTCTCCTAAGGTCCAAGCACATGAGAATCATATACTCTCCCAAAACTTTAAACCCTTACGACTTCAGCTAAGCCACAGAAGGATGAAGCAGAAGAAGGAGATGAATTGCTGCATGGCCGTCAAGGCCTCGAATGGGAGTTTCAGACAAATCAGGGGTAAGGTCAAGGAGGAACCATCGAAAAGTCGTGATATGGATTTTAAGCAATCTCCATACGGGCCCTGAACAAGATACTTCTGCCTAGAAACATCAAAGACACAATCCTTGCTCGAAGGACCCGAGACAAGGGTGCAGCTGCAAATTGAAAACGTCCCCAAGTATTTCCGCAGTAGGCAGGGGGGAAGGGGTGAAACTGTCGAGGATAGGCTTGAGTGCTTGGGCTGGGCTGGTTTAGGGTTTAGGGTTGAGGGTTTAGGGTTTATAAGACTGACCCTGTGTCCCAAGGTCTAAGAGTCTAACCTAAGCCAAAAGATGAAGCCTGCACCCTAAGCCCCTCTACCCTAATCCCCAAACCGCTACATACCAAACCTTACACTTAAACCTCCACAAGCAAAACTCTTAACCGGTGCAGTCAAATATAAAGCAGACAAGGCTTTTGGATTGCCAAGAGATCGGGCTGGCAAGGATCCACACAGGAGACAAGACAAAGAGGTTGATCTCGATGCAACCTTTACCCCTATACATACATACGCATATATGCACATACATGTACATGCGCTCACATGTATGCATACACAAATATGCATGCATGTGCGCAAAAACCTTATGTACATATAGTGCAGGCAAACAAACACACGAACACACAGACACAAAAACATGTCTGAATAAAACATTCTTGCATACACACAAGCGTACATGCACGTATACCAACATACATGCATGCAAGCATACGTACATACATACATACATACTACACCCATATGATGCTTATAAACAGCCTACAGTCCATCGACCCATCAATCCATGCATCCTTGCAAGCGTGCATGCATGCATGCAACTCAACTCAATACAAATTCGACTCACTTCAATTCAGTTGCATTCAGCTCAGTTCGGCTCAGGTCGGTTCAGTTCAACTCAGCTCAATTTCCTCGAGTTGTCAGTCAGCCAGTCAGCCCGTCGGTCAGTCAGTCATTTCAATCACAGTCACTTGAGCCATTCCAGGCATCGCATTCGCTGCTTTCATGTCGTGCATCTCAACCCTTTCCTTCAGTTCGTTCACTACCTTCATTGCACTCATTTCCTTCACTTCGTTCGTTCGTTCATTCTTCGGTTCACTCCCTCCACCCCCATTTCGTTCGCTCTTTCATTACTTGCTCACTTGGAGGTTCGTGGGTACTTACATGTAGGGCTCATATATAAGTAGGATAACTATAGTTATAACCAGTATTTGGTGACTTGTAAACCCGACTTTCAGCAACCCATGAACCTCCACAAGCATGACAGGGTGCGAAGCCAACAGGACAACCGTGCAAGTCTTCCTCGAGAACTTTGCCACTCGGGAGCTCGTAGCCCTGTCCACAGGCTTCGGAGTTGAATATAGGGCTTCGCATTTAGGGCTTATAGGGTTTATATGGTCTTTCGGGGTTACAGGCTTTATAGGCTTGGGGGCCTTAATTGCAAGACGGCCCTGGTGTATATTATTATAGTAGCATTTCGGCTTTATGGGCTTTCTAATAACAGGGTCTTTCAGGAATATAGGGTCTATATTGCGTTTAGGGTTTAGGGTGTGGGGACCTTAACAATTAGAAGAGGGCTCGGGGTCGTATAGTAGAATGGTAATAAGCCTGAGGAATGCTCTAGCTGAAGATTCCGACCGTTAAGAGCCAGCATATTCCAACTCCAGACCTCACATCCTATACCCCACCTACGCTTTCACCCATTTTCTCAACCAGCCTGCTAGATCAAGCCCTTCAGAACCACAAAGACAAAGCATTCCCAACCGTCCAAAATCAGCCGACACTTCTTGGAGGGTAAGAGATGCAAAACAACGTAGACGATCATGGAAAGCATCTCAGGCTACAATGAAGATATAATCCCATATCCTTTGATTCAAGCTATTTGAGCTGCGGGCTCAGAAAGCCTTTAAACCCCAAACCCAAACCCTACAGTCTCAGAGTTTGGATGGAGGGTAGAGCCTAAACACCAAGCCCTTCAAAACCACAAAAACCCTCAACCAAACCCAAAATCAACCGGTTGAGGTTATAGGGTCTTGGGTTTAATTCTCTAAGTATAAAGTTTACAGGGAACTCCAGAAAGTTGGAATATGGTTTCATGGTAGGATACACTATAACTTACCATAGAAGGGTTAGGATAATCATATTCCAACTTTCTGGCTTTTACCTTAGGGGTTTAGGGTTGAAGGTTTAAGCCCTCAGCCCCGATGACCTTGGGCAGCGTGACGTTGGTTCGGAAGACCCAGCCCATGAAAATGTTCATGAACGACCTGTCTGAATAGCGGCCCTGGGTTCAGAGCTCAGGGCTAGGGTACATATATATATATATATACATGTGTGTATATATATATATATATATAAATAAATAAATAAATATATATATATATATATATATTATGTATATATGTACACACACTGTTCAGTAGGGTTTAAGGGTTAGGGGTTTAGGGGTTTAGGGTTTAAGGTTTTGCTGGGTCTCGGTGAGAGCCCTACAGGTTGTGTATGTGCGCTTGTTAGGATTTGCGAAGTCTTATCGAGTTTTCTTTGGGTTTGAAGTATCGGTTCTTGCTTGCCTTGAACAGCGCAAGATTACTTGGCCATCCTAAACCCTAAACCAGGCTCCACAGTAAGTCGATGAGGGTATCCTTCTCTCCTGAATTGAAGCATAGATCACAGAATGGCGTACCATGCGTGCTTCTCTAAATTAGGGTCAATTAGGGTCCCTTTTTCAGGTGACAAAACTCGTACGGCACACACAGAAAGAGGACCCTGACAGGGACCCCTAATCTACAGAACTGCATATCCGAGAAACATAAAGCAGAACACTAAAAACCCAGAGTCAAACTGAAGAACGGCTAGCTCGGATGAACAACGGGTTTAGCGCTTAGAGGTGTAGTGCCGCCGTGAACCTAAACAGCTAAACCCCAAAGCCCCATTTAACCCGAAACCCTAAACCCCTCTATAAGACCCTGAACTCGAAACCTCACGATTTCCTCTTTGTTCAGCTTAGCAGCTGCGCGCCAAAGTAGAGCACCAACTTCCCAACAGTGCCCACCGTCGCGCCGTGAGCCATCTCGGTGGGCCCACTTTCGTGATCATGGCACTAAGTAAGTCGCGTCAGGGGTTTAGGGTGTAGGGTATCTGAATTGGGCTGATAATTTAAACTAATCGTAACTGAGTATAAGTGTACTCAATTACAACTAACCGTTGCCTTACTTGGACCCTAAGGAACCTACCTTGTTAGGGCCCCCGAATATGATTTCTTTAAATAAGTAATTACCAAAAACTGCACTTGGTAAGTCCCCTGACCCTTTAAGCACGGCTGCATGCTTGGCCTTGCTTCGGTGTTTGGGATGTAAAGAAGGCACCCCCCCCCCCAAAAGAAAAAAAAAAACAAACAAACGAGCAGGGCTTTGCGAGAGGGTGGTTCGCTATGATAAGCGTTTTAGGAACGATCATGACATGTTACGAACTATTCCAACCTCTCTATCGGGGTTTCGGACTTGAAGGTTCAGGCTTAGCCGCTGCTTAGGAAGAGAGAGGGCTGAGGCCTGGAGATTCAAGGGTGCAGGGCTGAATGCAGACCAGTGAGTACGGTTGATGATATAAATCCTCTTAATGGCCCTAAACTATGGTAATTATTGTATATTCCTTACTATGGGTAATGCAAGATCATCAACCGGTAGCAAGTCCCTTTCTTGATTTGTGTTTGGATAGGGATCGACATATGAAGGCCCTGCATTGACCAAACCTGGACATCCATCACCTCAACCCCATACTCTAAACCCTATAAACATTCCCGGAGACCTACACCCGAAACCAAGCCCGGAACCCTAAACCCTAAACGCCCAAAACTCATAAACCCCCACACCCTGATTAAAACAAGGTTAAAACATGCTCTAAACTCATAAGCCCTTACACCCTGATTAAATAGAAAGCAACCCAGTGGCTTCCATGCACTTCGGCAGGTTCATCATCACGATTCCTGTCAGGGGGGGATCGACTCTTGGGGGCCTGCAGAGGTAGTTTAGTATCGGGGCCTTAAGAATTAGAACAGGGTTCCTTTAAAGGGCTCTATAAGGGATCCGTGATAGAACTCTATGATATAGGGGCCTTTTATGCTTAGAATAGGGCTTGGGGGTATATTATACTATGACTACAATCAGGAACCCCAAAATAGTACAAGCAACTGTTTAGGCCGCTATATTACGGTTTTATGAGAAGGGTCGGGGATTCAAGGCTTTGTGGCTTTGGTTTCTATTTAGAGTTCTGAGCTGCAGGGTTCCATGGATTAGGGTTTAAGCTTAGGGTTTAGTATGCAGGAGCTGCAACGACAACACATACACTACGGCCGCTGCTGCCGCCAGACCAGGTAGCTGCTCTCAAGTTTTTGGTATTGGGTAACTTTGCAAGGAACCTAGGACTACAAAACGGGAATAAGGGTACTACTGGGCATCCTAGCCTCACAACCTCGGAAAAACACCTCACAGCGTTTACCTTCGGGCTTGTTGCAGCGTCCGAGAGGATCCTCACCCGATGTGGCAGTCGAGCTTCTTCCAGAGGGACCTAAACACTAGACGCCTAAACCCTAAAACCGAAGACCCTAAACCCAAACCCCAAAACCTTAAACCCCTCAGATCCCAACCCCTGAACCCTGATCCCTAAACTCTAAGACCCCAAACCCCAGACCCTGAACCCTGAACCCCAAGACTATACTGAACTTAGAACCCTAGAAAAAATTATAATTTCAGCTGTTTCTTAGGAATTATAATAACCAAAAATTAAAAAGTATTTCTAAGTACCCCTAAGAAGGCCCTGAAAACTCCGTAGACGGCTAAACTTCTTCCGGAGGGCCTGCGATGAGGCCGAGGATCGGGATGATAAAAGGCTTCGCCCTGGGTACCCAGAGAGCCCAATATCCCTTAACTAAGGAATACAGCTCAAGGCCTAGGGGTTCCTTAAAGGGTTCCTTAAAGGGATCTAGAGGGGTTCTTTTGGGGAATTAAGGAATATAGCTTAAATCATAATATGAAGCCCTATATAATTTAAGCCATATTCCTCAAATAAGGGGTATTGGGCTCTCTGGGTAAGAAAGCTTCACGACGTTTAGGGCTTAAGGGACTTCAGGGCTCTAGAGCTGTAAGGCTTGAGGGCGAACGCTTTCATTGGGGGTCTCAGCGGAACCCTTTCAGGGCTCTCTGTCTTGAGTTCCTTTCAAGGTTCCTTTGGGAGCTCGTTTTAAGGTTCCTTTAAAGGTGAAACCCTGAACCTTAAACCCTACAAAACGAAGGGCTTACCTGTATCCCCAAACCCTACGAAATAGTAGGTTCTGACCGCTTAATTATAGGTTCTTCACCCCAAAACAGTAGGTTTTTAGATCCCCAGATAGGGCATAGAAACCCTGAAACTTGAAGCCCAGAAGCTCCGAGACGCTTCCTCGAGGCAATAGTTCAAGCTCTCTCAACCCTAAACGGTTTAGGGTTTAGGGTTTAGGGTTTAGAGTTTAGGGTTTAGGGTTTAGGGCTTAGGGTTTAGGGCTTAGGGTTTAGGGTTTAGAGTTTAGGGTTTAGGGTTTAGGGTTTAGGGTTTAGGGTAACCCGTATGATGCAAGGCTTGTAAGCTGAGACTGTCGTGGCGAACCCTTCGAATCCTCAGAAATTTTCTTAAGCTCCAGGCATTTGCGGCTTAGAGAACTGTAGGGGTTGAGGGGCTTCGGGCGTCAGGGTCAGATAAGAAGGGTTGCTAAACCCTAAACCCTGAACCCTAAACACTAAACCCCCTTTAACCGTGACCCTGAACTTATTGGCTGTAAACTCAACTTTTCAACTTTGGGGGTTCTTATAAGGTAGTCAACCCTAAACCCTAAACCCCAAACTTTCATTTCCTTGGGTTTCGGGCCAGTAAGCGAAACCCCAAGCCTGAGCCCAAAATCTGCCAAGATCCGTTAAGGTTTAGGGTTTCGCTTTTATGATTTAGACAACTTTGGGGCTTGATCGGGTTTGGGGCTTTGGGTTTCTTGACTTCCCAGTCCTCTCTCTAAAAGCTCCTTTTTGTGGGTTTTGGGGTTTAGGGTTCAGCCCTTTCCCCTGCCAAGGCGCGTATCCGACTCCAGAACATCAAGCATATGCCTTGCAGGGCAGTTTGAGGGTGAGTCCCTGGGAGGATCCATGAAAGGTAGGCCCAGGTGTAGGAAGCAGCAAATCTAAACCCTATGTCAACCCTAACCCCCCGTGCGAAGCCTCAGGACGATGTATCATTTTTCGGAAATCCGTAGAGGGGCCTAAATAACTACCAATACAGTTTTGGAGGTTCTTTCTTGTATTTATTGTGCATTGTGCCCCATAGCGCTGTTCTAACCATTAAGGCCCCTATATTCTTGCTTCTGGGATCCATACGGGCAGGCTCTTCTTTGCGGACTTATGGTTTAGGCTTTCGGGCTGCGGGGTTTGATCTTTGCCAGCAAAGCAGCGTGAAGTGGGGATCCACCGCATGGTGGATGGGATGAGTCTCGGGCACGACCATGTTGCACAAAGCCTCAGAGGAAAAAAACAGGCCCCTTCTAACCTCTAAACTCTAAATCCTAAACACGTTACAAGGAACCTAGGACCACCGAAAGGGAAAAATGAACCCACTAGGAGACCTACTTGCAAAACCCTGCTTATAACCACCAATGAACCTCGACATAGGGGTCTAGAAAGAAGACTAAGAGTCACAGACTTCGGGCGGTTTGCATTCCTGCCCTACTACTACTGCTGCTGCTGCTGCTACTACTACTACTACTACTACTACTACTACTACTACTACTGCTACGACTACTAGAATCTGCGTCAAGAAGCCCAGACGACCGTTGACCGTGCGCTGTGTCCGGGGCGCGACTGGTTTGAGCCGACGGCAGGTCATGCCAGTTACGTAAGGGCCGCAGTAATTAGAGAAAGGGTTTCGAGCATTGAGGCATGTTTTCAACTAGAAGTTATATTCTATAATAGTATAGTGTAATTGTGCGAATATCGAGACTACAAAGCGGATAATATTCCCCCAGACCCAAAGCCCATAATTTTGTCCTACCTTGTTTCTGGTTTCGATGGATAAAAACTTGACCGCCTTACAGTAGCAGACCAGTCAACTCTGATTTCAGAAGAGACCGAACGTAACACACCTCACAGGAAACACTTCTTGAGCTTAGACTTCAGGGTTTAGGTTTTGGAAACCCTAAACCCTAACGCTCAAACTTTTTCAGAAGTCTTCAATATGGCCCGGGAGCCCGAGCTAAGCTACACTGCTCTTCGTGCCCAAGCTCAGGTTTTGTCTAAGCCTTCTAGGACCCTGCGTTCGAAACGAGATGGGTTTAGGGTCTAGGGGTTTACATAACCCCGCCTACATAGCTGCGACAGTGGCAATGCTCGCTTTTCTCCGAACAACACGCAGGCCCAGGAAGCTTTGTCCTACGCCGCAAGAGATTTTCGTTTAGGGCTTTAGGGTTTAGCTTTTGGTTTGATTGACAGGCATACATGCTTGACGATCTATGCGTAAGGCGTTGACAAACAAACTGCCCAACGTCAACAGTATACCAGCCAGTGATGAACCCTGTGTAACTCTTTTTGCTGCTGATGATGACAATGCTCATCACCATATCCATCTTCACCCTTTATCATCATCACCAAGACATTGTTCTTCTTGGTGGTAAATGATGGTCGCGGCAGCCAGGTGGCTGATGCTGCGGCTGTTCTTGGTCGGGTTCATGCCCACGCTGTGAAAGCTGTCTTCGTGACTCTTGCTTTTGTCTTTGCAGGGGGGCCCGAACTGATTTGTATTCGGGTTTGGGTAATCTTATAGCATGCTTACAAACTTCTATTTCGTTTGATCTGATGTGCTGTTCTTGATTTATCTGCCGTTGGTACTGCAGCAGGTGCTCCCGCTGGCAGGGGGCCGCAGGCGGGTTAAACCCTAAATCCTAAGTGCTAAGCCTCAAGCCCTACTTGGAGGTTCATCGGCGGTTATAAGTAGGGTTATAAGTAAGTTAACTGCTGTAGTTATAACCCATTTGAAGGGACTTCTAACCCCACTTATAACTACCCATGAACCTCCAAGTAAACCCTAAA